ATATTACACGAAGAAAAAAGATGGACGCGCCTGTCAATTTTATTTTGTAAAATAATTAAAAATAATATAATGAGTATTTGAAGAAGTTAAACGCATTTATTCATTATCTTGGCCACCATAGATTATACACTTTTGGCCACCTCAAGATACCTCTAAGAGATAGATGCAACATTTCTATTGGACCTTCAGCACCGGATCATCAATTAAGTTGAACCAGACGCTTACTTGAGAGACGCATCGGCCAACGAAAAGGAAACAAGATTACAGTGCTTTGGCAAGGCGTGCTAACCAAAATATGCAAAATTTTTCCCCTTCGCCTAAATAGTACTCTGCTTTCTTCAAACCTTTTTTGCTTTTCATTTTTGTATACGTACTTTTGTTAATATTGAGCAGCTGTTTTGTTTCGTTTACTTGTTTCCACAATGGCTACATCAGATCATAAGGAATAATTAATTATGAAATATCTTAAAAGAAAACGCGCATCTATTAATTGTCGTTTGACTAACTTTGACAAATACGTGAATTCATTCGAAGGTGTAGAATTATCTGTTCATCAACGTACCGAGCTAAAACTGCGGGTGGCAGGATCGCAAAGTTTAATGAATGATTTTAACCTCGTTCAAATTCAAATAGAAGACATTAGTGTAGAAATTCATATAGAAAAACAATTAGAATCGCGTGAAGATTTTGAGCAAAAATATTATAATATTTTTGCCCTTGCTGAATGTCTGACCACCGCTGATGAAAAATCAAAAGGTATGATGTCTAAACCACTGATTACAAGTTCCAAAAGCATTAATTTACCCACTATATCTGTCCCCACCTTTGACGGCTTATATGAGCACTGATTAGAGTTCCGCGATACATTTTTGTCATTGATACATAATAGTGAAACAATTACAGAAATTCAATAATTTCATTATTTAAAATCGTCTTTGTCCGGTAACGCTAAATCGGTCGTAGATTCCATAGAATTCTCTGCGAATAATTATAAAGTTGCTTGGGAACTACTGTTAAATCGATTTGATAATACGAAATTATTAGTACATAACCATGTCAAATCCATGTTTACCATGCAGTCGTCGACTAAAGAATCACCAGTGCAATTACGCAAATTAATTGATAATCTATATATTAATACGTGAAGCAAAAACTTTGTATCCCTTTTTACGAAAATTGCGCGGACGGAGGAGTATGAAATTTTCCACACTTATAGAGAATATAGAGCAGAAGTGCATAATGCTATTTTTTTTTAAATAATGCATAAATTGTACATTAAATCAACAAAGAAAACATTACACACACTACATACCATGTATTTGACGCACACACGCATGCATACTATTTATTGTCAAACTTTTGTTCTTGACATCTGTTGTCAAATTGAGAATAGATTAAATATTGTTTGTCTTTGTTAATATTTTTTATAGTATAGTCTTGGCGAAATTTGTGATTATAGAAGTCTAAAATACAATCATAATAGTGTACAAACTTACAAATCCAATTAATTATAGTCTAATTTCGACTACTGCGGGACCTCTAGTATTTTAAAAAACCTCCGCGCTTTAAAGCGTTAGGGGAACCTACAGAGTATTGGGATACGTTAATCGTATACATTATTGTCACAAAATTAGATTCCATTACCGAGCGGGAATGGAAACAGCATAAGTGTAGTTAAATTACATCAACCAACACCAAAACTGTAGTTCAACTAAATGACTTACTTCAGTTTCTTAGGAATAGGGCGGATATTTTGGAAACACTTATAGTATCACATAGTAAAGCAGGCGTATATAGCGCGACAGACAATAATAAAAAACAATTCAGTAACCAGTTATCATCTGAATTTCATTACAATATAGTTTCAAATAAACCAAATAATAATAAATCACAAGGAAAGAATGCACGTAATTACAGACCCTGCATAATGTGTAATGATTTACATCCGCTATATTCATCTCAAAAGTTTTTGGACCTTAGTGTACAAAATAGATTAAAATTTATCCAAACTAAACAGTTGTGCCCTAATTGCATGCGTCCAGGACACACTGTTGACACCTGTGTGTTCGGACCGTGTCGAAAATGTGATAAAAAACATAATTCGTTAATTTGCGGTGTAATTAAATATTATGATCATAGTTTCCCTAAAGTTACATTGGCATCTTGTGAACAATCAGCCGTCCCGACTAATACGAAAGATAACTCGCACGCACATTCTTTTCAGGCGCAATCTGTTGACACAATTGATAACATGCATCCAGCGCAACCAGTTTTGCTGTCCACAGCTATTATAGAAATACGTAGCCAGTCGGGTGTTTACCATCAAGCGCGCGCTCTACTCGATAGTGGCAGCGAAAGTTCATTCAACACACTTTGTGACAAATTAAATCCACCAATATTACAGCCCACTCAAGAAATTCACGGCGTAGGTAATACAATAACACAGTGCTCGCAATCCTGTGATATTAGATCCAATCACGCACTGGTCGTTATGCTGCACGCATTCAGGGTTTAATTCTACCACAAATAACATCAAACTTACCTATGAAGACATATAACGTTAATTTGTTTACCATACCGGATAACATTGTACTTGCAGATCCGAAGTTTTATGATAGTCAGCCGATTGATTTATTAATAGGCGCGGATTTGTTTTGGGAATTAGTTAGAGAAGGTAAAATACGACTTAAAACTGGCCCCTGTCTCCAAAATACGCATCTTGGTTGGATAATCTCGGGCTCATTTCAATCTATTACACGCAAAAACAAAGACATGTTAGCTGCAGTTGACAGTGACACATGCTCATTAGATCAATTATTACGCAGTTTTTGGGAAATCGAAGAATTACCAATTAATTTTCCTAAGTTAAGCTACGAGGAGCGCGCCTGTGAGGAGCACTTTATTAAAACAACCTCACGGACGGCCGACGGGCGGTTTAAGGTTCGATTTCCGTTCAAGCACTCTCCGAAGTTACTAGGTGACACGCGCACACAAGCTGAACGTGGCTTTTATGCCTTAGAAAAAAGGCTGCAACGCAATCCTACTTACAAACAAATGTATTTCGACTTTATACACGAATACATTAACTTAGGCCACATGAGTCTTGTACATAGTTATCAAACACCACATTATTTTTACCTCATCGCGGTGTGTTTGGAGAACATTCTACTACTACAAAGTTGCTTGTAGTCTTCGATGCTAGTGTGGCCTTCACTTCGGGGTTTTCATTAAATGCCTTGCAGATGACTGATTTCGAGAAAACAGGTATGTAGCTTGCGCAGGTATGGAAGATGATGAACGAGATTATCAGCTGATCTTGTGGCGAGACGATCTTTACAAACCACTGATGGTATATCGATTAAATACTGTTACCTACAGTACCGCTTTTAAGCTGTAGATGTTTAAAACAATTAGCTCAAGACTGTGAGGTTCCGTATGTGAAAGAAACTATTAATGATAAATTTTACGTGGACGACTTAATTTGCAGTGCAAATAGTATTTCAAGATTAAATCAAATTTACGAAGGTACTGATAAAGTTTTAAAATCGGCTTGTTTAATTTTACGTAAATGGATTTTTAACTTTGACTGCGCTACTAGTGATGATGCGCAAAATGTTACAAAAAAACTCGGTTTAGCAGGAGATAACGTTCAAAACATACTTGTCGAACCGTTCGTTCCGATATCGAGTCTAGGGAACGCGCTCTCGCCCCCGTCACGTTACAGCCGGAGTCTCGCAAGGCTCCGCCCTCTCCCCGTTACTGTTCAGTTTGTATATCAATGATATACCCCGGTCTCCGGAGACCCATCTGGCACTCTTCGCCGATGACACGGCTATCTACTACTCGTGTAGGAAGAAGTCGTTGCTACATCGGCGACTTCAGACCGCAGCTACCACCATGGGATTGTGGTTCCGGAAGTGGCGCATCGACATCAACCCCAGGAAAAGCACAGTGGTGCTCTTCAAAAGGGGTCGCCCTCCGAACCACGCTGAGCATCCCTCTCCCGACTAGGCGCGTCGACACCTCCGCCTCCGCCATTCGCCCAATCACGATGTACGACCAGCCCATACCGTGGGACCCGAAGGTCAAATATTTAGGCGTCACCCTCGACAGAAGGATGACATTCCGCCCCCATATAAAGACGGTACGCGACCGTGCCGCCTTCATACTAGGACGTCTCTACCCGATGATATGCAGAAGCACTGCTCTTGCTAGAGTTCATGTTAGCAACGTCGTCAGGTTTGAGCCCCGCGAGCTCACCTACTAGTTAAGGTTACGCTGAAATAGCCTCTCAAGGCTCTCAGCTTCGGTACAAAAAAAAGTGTCGTCTCAGTCTGTCTCAGGCAGTCAAGTCGGTCGGTCGGTTTTATTGAGTTTTATTGCAATTATTGCAATACACTGGATTCAACCGAACACGACTGATGACGGAACTGCCCCTCAGCCATCCCTGGCGCCGTCATATTCTATTGTAGGTTACCATCAGCATTTGTTCAATTTTTTGTTAGTCTTTAACTGAGCCTGATAGTTTGGTTTTTTTTGTAAACTACCTATTTTCATTTTAACTTTAATCAGCTGTTTTCGCCAAGTCATGGCGACGACTGACTGCTTGTAGTTCTTCTGAGATTACAAATACTAATTAATGTCAATTAAACATTTGATGTGTCGAGCCTAGTCCGTAGTCAACACAACGTGAATGTCTTCACCGACCTTTAAACATAAAGTCGAAGTCTGAATTGAATTCCACCAAGGCTGCCTCTTAATGTCTTTTTTTTATTGCTAAGGTGGGTGGTCGAGCTCACAGCCCACCTATTTTCACCTTGTGTTAAGTGGTTACTGGAGCCCATAGACATCTACGACGTAAATGCGCCACCCACCTTGCGATATAACTACGGGCTACCACCACAAACAGACCGGCTATGATGTATAGAACTGAAAATGTGGTTAAATCCCAAAACTTTCTTAATAGTGCTAATGTTACCATAACTATATTTTTGTTGTAGAATGGTGCACGTTGTAATATGGTTTTTGTTCTGTGTGACTGTTTACGCGTATTGGAGGACCGTGTGTCGACGAGGGAATATCAAACTGCCATCTCCACCGGATTTGCCTCGGCGCCTGCCTTTTATTGGACACGCTCATATTTTCTTTGGTGACAGCTTGCGTAAGGAAACCAATACTTAATTATGTTCAAAATTCTGCGGTTTGTTATGTTCCGTGGCCACCAGATTGCTTGAATACAGATATTTTGGTTATATTGCGTGTTTCGCTACAAAGCAATCTGTTTTGGTTTCCCAGTCCTTCTTATTCGTAGCTTACTCGTAGCTCGCATGACCTTGCGCCACAAGCTACGATGACACTCGCGTTGTATAATTAATGTGTTGTAGACCTGAAGCTAAACTACTGGTGGTAGCTACCACGACTTTGCCTATATCTGCCGTGAAGCAGTAATGCGTTTCGGTTTGAAGGGTGGGGCAACCGTTGTAACTATACTCGAGACCTTAGAACTTCCACCCATTTACGTTGTAGATTTTTGTGAAGTCGTCGTGGTCTAAAGGATAAGACGTCCACTGCATTCGTATGTAGCGATGCACCGGTTTTCGAATCCCAGGCGGGTACCAATTTTTCTAATGAAATACGTACTCAACAAATGTTCACGATTGATTTCCACGGTGAAGGAATAACATAGTGTAATAAAAATCAAACCCGCAAAATTATAATTTGCGTAATTACTGGTGGTAGGACCTCTTGTGAGTCCGCGCGGGTGGGTACCACCACCCTGCCTATTTCTGCCGTGAAGCAGTAATGCGTTCCGGTTCGCAGCCGTTGTAACTATACTTAAGACCTTAGAACTTATATCTCACGGTGGTAACCACTTAACACCAGGTGGGCTGTGAGCTCGTCCACTCATCTAGCAATAAAAAAAAAATGCTGTCGCGGACTTTTTTTTAGATCTTTTAAAGGGGAACAATTCTGTCATACATTATTTTAGCGAAACTTTAACCGTTTCTGCAGCGCACGCAGCGGAAGCTCTCAAAAGGGAAAAATAACCCCCATTTTGAAACATTCTTTAGTGGTGCTCCGCTTGTATTGGTCTTAGCGTGATGTTATATAGCCTATAACCTTCTTCGATGAATGGGCTGTCTAACACTGAGAAAAATTTTAAACTGCAAACAAACTCTTCAGCTTTATAATATTAGTATAGATATGTACATGGCACGTGTTGACGAAAGACGTCCTCGACAATAGAATCCTTGCGTGGTAATCACCGATGGAATGGCACACTACAAGCCACCGTAGATACCACTGGTCTGCGGAACCCTGGCGTTGGCCAGCCATGCTAGAAGGATGGGAAAGACGGTCAATCATCAAACATAAGATTCCAGATCACGTCTCGAAATGGATGGTGGGATTATTTATGTTAATTATCTCTAGTAACCAATTAACGCTAGACGGGTCGCGAGCTCGTTCCTTCATCTAGTATAAGAATCATACATGACATTGAATATTTACAGATGCTTGGAAAGTTATAAAATGGCTATCAAAGGAGACAGACAAGAGAGGTGGAGTAGCTTCCATTTCAATGGGGCCTCACAGAGGATTCTGTAAGTGGAATGATCATTGTGTTTCAAAGATATGTTGTACAAGTAGACGATATGTAGCTGTACTGGTTGTGGGCCGTTTTAAGATCTTTAAAGGTTTTTCTGCTAGCTAAGATCTGCAGATGAGCGTAAAGTCGATACGATATATTATAATACAGTAAGCTGAAGGATGTGATTATCAGTGATTATCACTGGTGGTAGGACCTCTTGGGAGTCTGCACGGGTAGGTACCACCACCCCGCCTATTTCCGCCGTGAAGCAGTAATGCGTTTCGGTTCGAAGGGTGGGGTAGCCGTTGTAACTATACTGAGACCTTAGAACTTATATCTCGAGGTGGGTGGCGCATTTACGTTGTAGATGTCTATGGGCTCCAGTAACCACTTAACATCAGGTGGGCNCACTGGTGGTAGGACCTCTTGGGAGTCTGCACGGGTAGGTACCACCACCCCGCCTATTTCCGCCGTGAAGCAGTAATGCGTTTCGGTTCGAAGGGTGGGGTAGCCGTTGTAACTATACTGAGACCTTAGAACTTATATCTCGAGGTGGGTGGCGCATTTACGTTGTAGATGTCTATGGGCTCCAGTAACCACTTAACATCAGGTGGGCTGTGAGCTAGTCCATCCATCTAAGCAATATAAAAAAAAAAAAAGTGGCGTTCCGCCCACACGAACCGTCCGTTCGCCTAGCATTCTAAAGTCCTAAAGTATTGATCCCAGGATTAAATAAACCGCTGTCCTCTCTGTTTTTGTGCCATATCTGATGAGGAGTACTCTGAGGAATTGTTTGTGATGATCCCATTTTACCATCGCACCTCCCGCTTTTGGAGCTGAGCTCACCCGTACTCTTTGGGACGGCTGCGCTCAATCACAGTGCGTTTTCAGAGAGCTGTTTTCTAGAAGGTGCTATCGATGAAGCACTATGACGCCAAGCAAACGCTATGGCCTAAAATTGTCCCAATGCTTTTTGCTGTCCGAACGTAATCAGTTTTAAGCAAAACATGGAGTGGTCTGCTTGCGTCTCGTTCGGAATACGAGCACTGCCATCCTCATTACGGGTGGTAGGACCTCTTGTGAGTCCGCGCGGGTAGGTACCACCGCCCTGCCTATTTCTGCCGTGAAGCAGTAATGCGTTGCGGTTTGAAGGGTGGGTCAGTCGTTGTACTGTAAAAACTGAGACCTTAGAACTATTATCTCAAGGTAGGTGGCGCCGTTTACGTTTTAGATGTCTATGAGCTCCGGTGATCTCTTAGGTCTCATCAGGTAGACCGTGAGCTCGTCCACCCACCTAAGCACCTAAGCTAAAAAAGTAAAAATTACGCACATTCTGGATTCGTATCTTACAAATTCAGCGCTGAAGCGATGATATTTGATATTATTCAAGGAATAATAATGTGGTAAATTGTTTCTTTTTTTACAATCATTGATTCTTTTGCTTGCTATGATGACCGCCGATCTGATCTAAATCTCATTTGTATTGTAATAGCTGGTCCACATTTCGTGTCAGGAAGCATGATAGTCTCGCAGCAAAAATGGACATGTCTGTGGTACCTACTCCAGCGGACACACAATACGACCTACCACCAGTAAATGCCAGGCGGCGAACACAATATGGTACTCAGAGGACGTGGCTTCGGATCCTCTAGTTATTATTCCCTTAGTCGCCTATAACGTCACTCATGGGAACATAAAATGGGTAAATCGGGACGTTGTCATTGAACACACCTGGAGCTAACTGATGAAGACATTAAGTAGACAATTAATTAAACATCGATAAGATATTGCACCTTTATTTAACTACATTTGTAGCCTTGAATAATGTTGCAGCTGACAATGACACCATTCAACATGTTACCGCATTTTATTTACTCCTCTTCTTGTGTTTGTTTTTACGTTTAAAAAACTCGGCTTATTGTTTTCGTATTCGTTCCACATTCGTGTCGACGACTGTGGAGAATATCATAATCTAATATATAAAATTCTCGTGTCACAGTTTTCGTTGCCATACTCCTCCGAAACGGCTTGACCGATTTTGATGAAATTTTTTGTGCTTATCCGGTATCTATGAGAATCGGCCAACATCTATTTTTCATCCCCCTAAATGTTAGGGGTAGTCCAGTCCACCCCTAAATTTTTTATTTTATTTTTTAGACAAAATTTTTAATTTCTATTTTTTTATGATACAACATACAAAAATACATACAACCCTAAATTTTCACCCCTCTACGATCAACCCATATTTTTTATTTGTTAATTATAAATTTTAAATTTTTTGGCAAGATTTTATTTTTTATTTTGTCATGACTTAAAATAAAAAAAAAAATATTACTCTCAATTTTCACTCTTATAGGATCAACCCCTATTTTTCCATCCCGATTTTTATTTTTTTATTCTATGCACAGATCCGCAATAAGGTTGCAAGATGCCAATCAAATATTATAATTGTACGATATATTCTTATTCAGAGTTTATAATTTCAAGTTCCTTTAATTATGATTTTTTTTAAATTCAATTTGATCTCCTGCCCTCGCCGGTCGACTACTGATCAACTATCAATCGATCAGTTATCCCCGTCAGGTGTCACCACTCATCCAGCAAACATCACGTAGTAGGGATGAGGACGAAGCTGATCTCCTGTCTTACTCACTATACATTTTTCAGTCATGTTTCTTTGGTTTTATTTGTGTATCAATCGTAGCTTGCCAGCCATTTTTTTTGGTTTTATTTGTGTATCAATCATGTTCAGTAGGTCTGAGAATCGGCTACTATCTATAATATTTCATATCCCTAAGTGATAAGGGTTGTCCACCCCAAACATATTTTTTTTTGTTTTTTTTTTTTTTGGTTATAATGAGGTATGAGGTATAGTCCCCAGCACGTAACTTGGCAAGAGTCGCTAGATGCGTAGACGTCGTTTTTTAGGTCTCTTTGGTTGTCAAGCGGGACGCGGGGAAAGACGTAGAACCGTTCCGAGCGCGCGATTGGTGAGTCAGTCGACCCTCCCCTCCCGCACCGCGTCCACGTTCCGTTCGCTCACGGTTACACATGCGCCTACTAAAGTTGTAGGAACCCTTTGTTTATATTGAGTTTTTGTTACGAGTTGTTATTATTGTTTTAAATTTAGTTTTTGTTACGAGTGTTATTGGAACGAAGTTCCTTACGGCAGGCTTGGAGGGGATAGGGATTTTGCTGCGCGACCGAACTGAAAAAAATGTGATAGTAAAACCGTAAGAAAAAATCCGTGGAAAAAATCCGTGGAAAAAAGTGCGTGGAATAAAACCGTTAAATGAGACGTGCGCAGGCGCGACAGTCGCATACACAAGCGAGTAGTGTATAATACCTTTCTCTTTCTCCCTCTTTCTTTTCGTTCTCTCATCCATTCTCTTTCTATTTTACGTAATTTATTATTTCCTAAAATACTGAATTTCCTAAATACTTTCCTATACTTAAATAAAAACTAATCAGCAAAATTTAAGAGAAAAATCAAGAAAACCAACATAAAATTGAGCACGATTTTTTTTTTTGCAAATTGTGTCGATTCTACATTAGCCGAAGGAACTTCGTTCCTACCTGGTGTCCCACGACACCACATTTTCATTTTTGTTTTAAATTTGTTTGCAATGGTAGGACCAAATACCAATGACCATAATTATAATCGATTCAGTCACTGAGCGTTTTATTATTTACGCCAGTGACGACAGCGACTCTTCGTTATGTCGACGATGAGGAGCCAACTCCTTCCACCAGCTCAGGTGCTACCATAAATTTAATCCAAGGGGTAGCACTATTAGAAAATGATAGTGACGACGGCGACACATAATTTTTAATATTAAGTATATTTTTTTAAATAAACTTTTTAACTTTTAATTGTATTTTATTTATAACACCTAACACACTTCACGAATTCCTCTCTTTTCTTTAACTTTCTTCTAAACACACAGGCTTAAAAATAAATTATGGCAAATAAAAAATTTAATAAAATAAAATTAACATATATGCGGGCAATAAAAGTGACCATTTTTTTGTTGCAATGTACACTATGCGCGACATTACCCCCACTACACCAAAACCTTGCCAACTTACGTGCCGCTTACTATATTATGTGGTTGAATGAGGTTTTTGAGAATTTTATATATTAGACTAGAATTTCCCTAGAAATCTTATTTAAGGCAACACAACGTTTGCCGGGTCAGCTAGTATATTATAAACTTCAGTTTCTCACTCACCACTATACTACAAGGCAGTAATGCGTTTCGGTTTGAAGGGTGGGGCAGCCGTTGCAACTATACTTGAGACCCTAAAGTCTAAAACTTATCTCAAGGTGGGTGGCGCATTTACGTTGTAGATATCTATGGGCTCCAGTAACCACTTAACACCAGGTGGGCTGTGAGCTCGTCCACCCACCTAAGCAATATAAAAAAATCTTTCAATGATTCCATTTTACATTCATTTTGTTTAGAAAGAAGAATTTCGGAAATATCGTTAATCACAGTTAGGTATTTTAAAATAAATTAAATTTAAATCATATAGCGTGCTGCTGATAGGCCGTGCCCTTGGCATTGTCAATGCCACGAGCAACAATCACTCAAATGCCACTAGGTGGACCGCACAATCTTCGATAATTGTAGATATTTATGGAGCCTAAGCAACGTGCGTTCGAGTAGGTGTTGTGATAATTATATTAAACGGGAATATCATCGATTTAGTCAAAGTCAATTAAATATTCAGTATTGCGGATATCTGAAAACTCTCTGGTAAAATCAAATCTTGATAAAATTTAAACGAGACTACACGAGAAATACCATTTCTCAAACATGTACAAAATAAGTTCTGCAAATCGGCTTATCTACAAAAATGTTCTGAGCCAACGCACACAACGCAACAGCTCACTCAATAAACACACTTTAAATTAATTATTTCAATATTACTAATTTAAACTTTTAATTATTTGGACAGGTGTTACTGATCCCGGCGACTGCCTCACTATTTCCAACGTTTGTCTAAAAAAGGACTACTACTACAGTTTTGCTACTCCTTGGCTCGGGAACGGCTTGCTCACTGGCAGCGGTGGGTTGAGAATCTATCTTATTTATAGATAATAGATAAATTAAGTCGTGGCCTAATGGTAAGATGCTGTAGCCGAATCGAGCGATGCGACGATACCAGCATCATAAGCTCAGTGGCAGGTAATCATTTGCCACTGGGCTTATATTAAATTATTTTTGTTATTGTACTTAGCGAAAATACGTACTTAGCGTGTGGTCGCGAATGACTTTAAGATGAAGAAACAACAGAAATGCAGTCCTTAAAATTTACAAATATATGTAATTAACAGTATCAGTGTGGGTGTGAGGCCTTGTGAGCCCGCGTCGTTAGGTACCACCACCCTGCCCACAGGTGCCGCGTTGGAACAGTGCTACGGGCTAAATAAGAAATATAAAGTCGTCGTGGACTAAAGGATAAGACGTTCGGCGCATTCGTATATAGCGATGCATCGATGTTCGAATCCCAGGCGGGTACCAATTCTTCTAATGAAATACGTACTTAACAAATGTTCACGATTGACTTCCACCCTGAAGTAATAACATAGTGTAATAAAAATCAAACCCGCAAAATTATAATTTGCGTAATTACTGGTGGTAGGACCTCTTGTGAGTCCCCACGGGTAGGTACCACCACCCTGCCTATTTTTGCCGTGCAGCAGTAATGCGTTTTGGTTTGAAGGGTGGGACAGCCGTTGTAACTATACTGAGACCTTACAACTTACATCTCAAGGTGGGTGGTACGTTGTAAATGTGTATGGGCTCCAGTAACCACTTAAAACCAGGTGGGCCGTGAGTTCGTTCACCCATCGCTGTAAAAAAAAAGTCCTTTGAGATATTAAGTGAAAAGGTTTTTCGAACTCCGAGAAGAAGAGAAGAGATAAGACGTAACGTCTTAGATACACATACGGGTGTCGGGGTTTCCTTCCGTGTGATATTGTGTATGAGCTTAACAGTTTCACAGGCGATGTACAGGACTTTAGTCTTAACAGTAAGCCTCTGACGCCCTTTTCAGTTGCCACTTGGAGGCTGCATCGCCGACTCTTAGGGCCCGCGTTCAGTCAGCGGGTGCTCAATGGTTTCATCAGTGCTTTCAACTGCAAGTCGAGGGCGCTCGTCACCCAGCTGGAGGACCGGGTCGGGCGAGGGCCCTTCGACCACGTCCCCTACCTGTCCTTCAATAACTTGGAAACTATATGTCGTGAGTATTCATGTTTTTTTTATTGCTTAGATGGGCGTTCAAGCTCATAGCCCACCTGGTGTTAAGTGGTTACTGGAGCCCATAGACATTTACAACGTACCACCCACCTTGAGATGTAAGTTGTAAGGTCTCAGTATAGTTACAACGGCTGCCCCACCCTTCAAACCGCAACGCATTACGGCAGATTAGGCAGGGTGGTGGTACCTACCCGCGCGGACTCACATTAGGTCCAACCACCACGCGCGGCGCTCGCTCGCAGCCTTTTCAATTCAATGCAGTATTGCAGCTATGTTCGTTCGCGTTAAGAATGCAGTTAATTATCATTGTTCGCCGCCTCCTAACCAAACAAATCTTTTCAAATTACAAGGTCAAGTTCACAGTGACCAGTTGAAAGCACAGCTTCGAACGCGACGGTTGTGTCCTATAATTGTGTTTACTGATTTATATTTAAAAAGAAAAATACATGTGTGCAATTTACACGTGGTAGAAGTGAAACCTTCCAAAATTAAAATACAATTATCCTAAACGTCTTAAAAAAAAATTATGTCATTAGTAAATAATTGTAAGGTAGCGCCCTCTGTGAATTGATATGAATTTAATTTCACGTATAATCCTAAATTAAAATTCACTACAAGAGCTTTCATACACACGTTAGTATTAAAAAATCTCACAGATGGCGCTGTATTAAATAGTATGTATATTTCTGTCTCATTCTTTGCTGGCTTCATCCTACACATTTTTGTATTTGTGTCTCTTACCTGTCGTTTTTTCCGTTGCATCCGGTTTGAAATCACAACGATNCAAGAGCTTTCATACACACGTTAGTATTAAAAAATCTCACAGATGGCGCTGTATTAAATAGTATGTATATTTCTGTCTCATTCTTTGCTGGCTTCATCCTACACATTTTTGTATTTGTGTCTCTTACCTGTCGTTTTTTCCGTTGCATCCGGTTTGAAATCACAACGATTCTAAAGAAGTTTTCACTTCAAAAATGAATACCTCACCAATTCGTAAAAATAAAAGTGGTTCGTAATTCACAATGGAGAGAGAAAAGTAATTTACAATGTTTTAAAGTATTTTAAAGTCTGATTTAAATGTAATTGTGGACAGTACAAATATTTTATGATGCACTTCGGTTAGTAGACGCTGATCGATGGAAGAAATGCCGCGGACCACGTCTTACAAGAAGAAAATACCTTGTGGTGTTTAGATGATGTCATGGAACTCGATAGTCGACATCGATGCGCCACTTCGATAAAGCGGCACGGCACGAGAGCCCTCTCATCGTGGCCGTCGGTAACTACATTCCCGATCCTACGGACAGAATGGAAAGCAGTCGATGTCGCCCAAAACACGTCATTTCGGATCCTCCCGATCCACTAACGGTGCTTTTAGACACCTCAAGTACCGGTCATCGTCCTCGTCGAACCCGTCGCTTGCGACGAAGGGCTCGACGAGTAAGTAAATTCACCCTCAGACACAGCCCACTTAGTTTCTCGCCGGATCTTCTCAGTGGGTCGCGTTTCCGATCCGGTGGTAGATTCTGCGAAGCACGGCTCTTGCTAGGGTTCGTGTTAGCAACGTCGTCAGGTTTGAGCCCCGTGAGCTCACCTACTAGTTAAGGTTCCGCTGATATAGCCTCTCAAGGCTATCAGCTTAGGTAGGAAAAAAAGAAAAAACTCTGTGCAGAAAATTCTTTTATTATAAATACTAACGAGAATACTTTAAGCTTATTAAACTTTAAGAATATAATTAGTTTCAATGTTCACACCACTGTGAAAACACCTTTATTTACCTTTCAGCCGTCTGGTGTAGTGGTAAGTGACATGGTCACTACACAAGGGGGTCGCGGTTTCGAATCCCGCCAAGGGAAGATTGTATTTGTATGATAAATATAAATGTCTTTTCCAGGGTTATGGATGTATATTAAATATTAAATATGTGTATGTGTATAATAAAAATCTTACATTTATTTCCGTTAACTGATACCTGTAACACAAGTTATTTACGAACTTAGCACGGGACCAGTTAAGGTGGCGTGATTGTTTTAAAAAAAAAAAAAAACAAGTTGCACTCATACACTGCATTCTTAATGCGAATGAACTATAGGTTATGATATGCTCTTATTAGATTATTTTTGTTATTGCTGAAAATTTATGCGTATCAGCTCCGACGCGCGAATGTTATGTTATGACGCGCTGAGTTTACTTTGAACGTTATTGTCATTGAATATTTAGATTTATTTAAAATAAAGTATGTAAAGAAGGCAAATAAATGTAACTCTTATAATACTGATGGCACGTAGATATTTTTATTCATATAAATTTACATTGTTTCAATAAATATGATTTTGCATCATATATTAGTTACAGAGAAGTGCTTGTGACAGCAATGAGTTGTTCCACGAGTATACGTACGGAATGAATTGATTTCATTTGTTACTTCATCAAGTCTTGATTAGCATATTGTTAATGTTACATATCTGTATATTATTTAGTTTAATTCTAATTCATAAAAGGCTTAGTGTGAAATTTTACAATGCGCGCGCACAGTGACACAAAATTAACAAAATGAAGTTGCCCACTAAATCGCTCATTACAATACGACCAACGTAACTTGGCGAGTCTGAATATAGCCGCAGGTGAACTTTCGCGCATGTACACTTGTAAAAAAATGTGTTATTAGCATTCATTTTTTAGTAATATAAATGGCAAAATTATTATTTAATATAATTCATACTAAATATTATTAAATTATTAACGTTAAATATTTATTATTAATTATTTTATATTTAAATAAAAAGAAATAAATTTAATAAAAATAAAGTATAACTTCTTACGCGCGTACATAAGTACACGCACCCTTTTTTTTTTAGACCTGTTTAAATACATTTAAGTATGTATACAGTGAAAATATGTACATTTATATATAGGATGTATTCATATAGTAATTGAACGTTTTGTTGGATCTCCTTGTAAACATCAAACAGTATCAGATCAGAGAATAGTGACATCTTTAGGGCTATTTACGGTTGGGTATCATGAGTAATTTTACAGAGACAGCTTTGGGGATCAAGATGGAGGATCACAGTGCGGTCAACCAGCAGTACGAGCAGGCTCTTCACGACATCTTCGCGGTTCTCACCGAGAGGTTCCAGAAGTTCTGGCTGCACTACGACTTCGTATATAACAGAACTAAACTCAAGGAACGAGAGGATCAGATAATTAAAGTCTTGCATAACATGTCTAATACGGTGATTGTTTTAGTTCATTTTACATCGTCTCAAACTTTTTTGTCTGTGTGTTGCATGTCGCGTGACGGTCGGCCGCGGAGTAGGGATAAAGTGAAAGGCGCTCGTCAGAGCAGCCCAGGCCAATATGGCGGCGCCTATAGCTCGCAGCAGCTGACCGTCTAGTGTATAGACTATTACTCATTAGTGCCAGTGCTCCACGCTAGTTTGTCTGTTTTTGTCAGTGTTTAAGTTCAGTTCATCAGTTCATCAGTTGTTTGTCAGAGTTAAATGTCTATAATGTGAAAAAAAGATTCACTTTTACCGTGGTTTCATAAAACCACATAATCCTTTTTATTATTACGTGAGTTAGAGGATCCGCAATCTAACGGTGACCGTCTCGAAGGATGTGGTTACTTATATCGGGTGTAAATCCGACAGGCGCCTAATATATATTTCACGAACGAGTTAAACAGGAGTCGCAACGACGAAAGAATAATAACGTAAATTCACAAGTTTGCGAATCGACTGGTGCTAGGGGAGCCGGTGAGCCCCTGGGCTGCGCCGTGAGCCTCACTGACCGTTTTGTTCTCAGGCTCTGCAACAAAGAAAATCTGTTTTCTTGCAAGAACACGACGCGGCCTCCGACAAGCCGACAGGTATACAACTAGCATTCATACTCTCTTCGTAGTTATTGTACAGACGAATGAAGGAGTCCGCGGCCTGCTTGGCGCGCCGACCGGTATCGCAGCGTCAGTGTGGCCGTCCACCGTGAGACATGAGGTCCGAGTCTCAATTGTAGTGTATAGAGGGTGTCCGCTCCTCACTCTGTCGATTGCTTTGCCGCGGCACTAGGCAGGAGCGTGGCTCTTAGCGGGTCACGATTCCGATCCGGTAGTAGATTCATTCGCGAAGCAACTGCTCTTGAGTTGTTAGGTCTCTTTTGAAGGCGCTCGGGCAGCTGTTAGCGAATCCCACCCCTCCTGGCTGAGCCTTTGCTGGCCCACCTGTCCTGGTGAAACTGAAAAGGCCTTAGGGCCACTAGTAATCCTTCAATCATAAAAAAGAAGGAGCGTGGCGCCGTACTGAGCGGCTTACGAAACGTCCTCCACCAGCAATCGCCACTAAGAGATCTCAGTACGCTGACGTATAGTAATATTTAGAGAATGTTGCTGCCCATTCTTCGGTATTCTTAGCCTTTATCCTTAGTGATCTGGGAATCCAGGGGAGAAGATGAAATATGTACTTAACAAATTTTCACGATTGACTTCCAGGATGAAGGAATATTATAATTTGCGTTATTACTGGTGGTAGGACCTCTTGTGAGTCCGCACGGGTTGGTACCAACTTGCCTATTCTTTCTGTGAAGCAGTATTGGATTTCGGTTTGAAGGGCGGGGAACCCGGTGTAACTATACTGAGGCTTTAGAATTCATATCTCAAAGTGGGTGGCGGCATTTACGCTGTAGGTGTCGTTGAGAGGGTCGAGGCTTCGCTGCACGCTATCTTTACTCTAGCAGACTGGCACCATGAAGAGGGCAGGTTGCTTGCAGTGTTGAAGGCGGGAACCGAAGAGCTCATTCCGGCTATGGACATGTCCCTCTTCAAACGAGGCTTGTGGAGAGTATTAAGCGGTAGGCAGCGACTTGGTTCTGCCCTTGGCATTGCTGAAGTCCATGGGCGACGGTGACCATTCACCATCAGGTGAGCCATGCTCTCGTATGCCTACAAGGGCAATAAAAAAAATATATAAAAAAAACCCCTACTCAATCCGGCTTCTGACCTTGGGTGGAAATCGGACCTTGGGCGAGAGAATACAAGGGGAGTCGTTTAATGGGTAGAGTCTTAAAATGTCCCTGGGCCCGCGCTCTGCTCCCAACATCTGCAGACCGTTAAGTTTAACATACCCTGCGCATTCACAAACTTCTGGCCCCTGCTCAAAAAAAAGGTATCTACACACATTCTTGTGTAGTCCGACTTCAATTAGTGAGACACAGTACAGAAGGATCCTTATGCGCGGGGACCTCGTAGGAGGTTCGGCCCCCGGCCCGAAAAAAAAAAAATAGAGGGATGTTTCTTGATGTTTCAGATAAATCGAAGACATTTATAGACATCATCCTAGAGACGTGCGGCGGAGCGTTCAGCGACAAGGACGTGAGGGAGGAGGTGGACAACATCATATTCGCTGGACACGACACCATCTCGACGGTGCTCACGACTGCGCTGTCGTTGTTGGGCTCGCACCCAGACGTTCAGGATAAAGTCTACAACGAGTTAGTATCTGTGAGCTACTGCTTGCTGTGCCGTACAACTTGGTACTTGGTCGTGGACGGCTGTGGTGGCCGCCATACACGTCCAATGTAAAAGACAACTCAATTTTATGGTTCACATGACTATTCTTTTTTTTATTGCTTAGATGGGTGGACGAGCTCACAGTCCATCTAGTGTTAAGTGGATACTGGAGCCCATAGACATTTACGACGTAAATGCGCCACCCATCTTGAAATATATAAGTTCTAAGGTCTCAAGAATAGTTACAACGGCTGCCCCACCCTTCAAACCGAAACGCATTACTGTTTCACGGCAGAAATAGGCGGGGCGGTGGTACCTACTCGTGCGGACTCACAAGAGGTCCTACCACCAGTAAAAAACCAAAATTCTAATTTGATGTCTCGATGTTTCAAATACTTGACAGCAAACGTTTTAATAGTAAATACGTTTTGAGAAAACATTGAATATACATAAAATACTATGTATTATAATTATTAGAGGTCGGAGTAGGTAGATTGATTTAAGGTCGTTGATTTCAAACGGAGAGGATAATATGGATATGCCTCCAAAATACCGGAGCTTCATATTTATTGTGATATTTGTTCCGGAAATTTGCAATTAGCATGAATCTGTGCTTAAGGTGAAAAACGTATTAATAATATTAATCTACGCTACCAGTGCTAGCTAATGGTGAAAGAAATTAGTATTTTATTTTATCCAAAAACGCCTTGGAATAGTTACACCGTATTTTGTTCCTTTCTGTTGAATTAGAAATGACGCTTGTCAGTATGAGACAAAACTTAGACAGGGCTTTTTGTTACTTTATCTCATAAATATAGAAATGGTATCCGATGAGGATAAAAAATATTTCTTTTCAATTAAAAAAAAATATCATTATGGATAAAATGGCATATCCATATCGACCACTGATTATAATTGACAAGATCGACAAGTGTTGGTCCCTCTGGTCCCCCGATGCACAAAATAATATGTAGGAGTGTCGTGTCCTCACAGAGTGCGGCGCGTGCTGGGCGACGAGGACCGTGACGTCACCAAGGAGGACTACCTGCAGCTGGAGTACCTGGAGGCCGTGCTGAAGGAGTCCATGAGGATGTACCCCGTGGCGCCCGTCATCGCGAGGTACTCCGACGCAGAAGTGAAGCTGAGTAAGGATGCGTTTTATTACTGAAAGCTGTGTAAAGTTGAAAGACGTTTTCATGGAAGCTTACCAAACATAATATAATTTTAATATGTTAAGAGTTAAATTCCATCTCAAGCGACGGGGTCAGAACGTATTTTCTCCGGGGCCTGTGTCCTTATAACTTCAATTACTAGGACCTTCGAGAGTTTTGACGACTATCCCACAGAGTTGAAAACAGAACCCCTTTGTCGTGGTGCCGAAATTCCAAGGACTATTCCTGCAACCTTCCGAGAGTATCGGGATACTTGGGGTCGACATTTCGAGCGATGTCCAGTTACGGAGTAATTTGGAGGGTAAAGCCAAGCTGGCTTCCAAAATGCTGGAAGTCCTCAACAGGGCGAAGCGGTACTTCACGCCTGGACAAAGACTTTTGCTTTACAAAGCACAGGTCCGGTCTCGTGTGGAGTACTGCTCCTACCTCTGGGCCGGGGCTCCTAAATACCAGCTTCTTCCATTTGACTCCAAACAGAAGTGAGCCGTTTGGATTGCCGATAATCACATTCTCACGGATCGTTTGGAACCCCTGGGTCTACGGAGGGAGTTCGCTTCTCTCTGTATTTTGTACCGCACTTATGTTCCATGGGGAGTGCTCTGAGGAATTGTTTGAGATGATTCCATCATCTCGTTTTTACCATCGCACCGCCCGCCATCGGAGTAGAGTTCTGGAGCCACTGCGGTCATCCACAGTGCGTTTCCAGAGATCTTTTTTGCCACGTACCATTCGGCGTTGGAATGAGTTCCTTTCCACGGTGTTTCCCGAGCGCTATGACATATGTTTCTTCAAACGAGGCTTGTGGAGAGTACTTAACCGTAGGCAGAAGCTTGGCTCTGCCCCTGGCATTGCTGACGTCCATGAGCGACGGTGACCACTAACCATCAGATGGTCCGTATGCTTGTTTGCCTATATGGACAATAAAAAAAATCTGCATCCCGATCCGAGTGGAATGTGTGACCTGAGCTGGGCTGCTGACACTGTCCGATGTTTGTATCGCGATCGCCGGCAGCACGCGCGGCCCGGGCTCTGCTGGGCGACGTTAGGACAACTCCGTCTACTTGCCTCCTAATACATCGTTCGGTACTACCATTAAATCTTTATGAGTCGCCTCGCCTAGTTTTTAGCACAACTACATCTAGACCGTTACTCCACTCAGTAGAGGCTCGTGAGGGACCCTTTCCTTTACAAGTTATTTGTTTTCAGAAAACTACACAGCCCCGGCCGGTAGTGGCTTCATACTACTGTTGTGGGGGGTCCACCAGCACCGTATCTGGGGAGCAGACGCAGACCAGTTCAGGCCTGAGCGATGGCTGGAAGCGGCCACGCTACCAGATCCTTCGTTCTTCGCCGGCTTCAGCACCGGCAGGAGGAGCTGCATCGGTGAGTGCCGCGTCCGGTCGGGGGGCGGGTCGTTGGTATTTTCACGAAGATCAGGGAAACTTAGGAGCCACTGCTGGTGGTATTGCTAGAGGATTTTACTGGCGCACAGTGGTAGCACAGATACTAGTATGACGGGCAGATAAGGATTAAGTTACGAACGTTTCTTTTTACACGCTTTATATTAGCTTCACTTGTATGTATGTTTGTATGTTTGTATTTGACTCCTTTAGACGCGATTTTGACCCACTTTAAACGGCCAGATTTCATTCAAACTTTGTAGATTTACCGAGGACCGATGACAATACACTAATTTGATAAGATTATTCCATTATTCAATTTGCAAAATAAGATTTTTGCCAATTTATATAATTTTTATCTAACTATAGTCGATAAGGCAGGAATTAATGTTAAAGTACTTAATAGTTTTAAAAATACGTTTTTATAGAAAATTTTACTAAAAAATGAAAAATAAATAGTAGTTTGCAAGGTCGTCACCTGAGTTAGATATTTTTACTTGTAGGTTAGTTACGTTTAGAAAAATGTTCAAGGGCATCCTCCACTTTATTAATAGGTAGGTTAATGTAATTGTTTAATGTACTATATTGTGAATAATTTTTTTTTTCTTCCTTACATTATTCGTTAGATTAGTTTTTGTTATTGTCTTGTTTTGTCATAATTGTAAGGAACATTGTTATACAAATTCAGCACTATATGTCTTGTTTTGTCGTGCGCACATGTCTTATGTTGCAAGCCAGATTTTGTTTCTTTTTATTTGTGTTTTTTGTGTATCTTTAGCTTGTGATGTGTGTTGTGAGCCTAATAANGTTAGATTAGTTTTTGTTATTGTCTTGTTTTGTCATAATTGTAAGGAACATTGTTATACAAATTCAGCACTATATGTCTTGTTTTGTCGTGCGCACATGTCTTATGTTGCAAGCCAGATTTTGTTTCTTTTTATTTGTGTTTTTTGTGTATCTTTAGCTTGTGATGTGTGTTGTGAGCCTAATAAAATAAATAAATAAAAAAAAAAAAAAAAAAAGTTTAAAAAAACTAGAAAACACGCTTTATATAAAATTCAACTAAAAAAATAGAAATTAAATTTTAATAAATTTGAATTAAAAATAGTCTAAGAAAAAATGATTTTATTGTAATAAAGCGTGAGGTGCTCAGGATTTTATCCTTTCAGGATATTATCAAAATAACCCTTCTACCAGCGAATAAATAATAAGTCTATTTATTCGTAGTCTTCTACTCATATCTGTTCATAAAATATTTATAACTACTGGTACCATGCACCTCACGCTTTATCTACAATAAAATCACTTTTTCTTACACTGTTTTTAATTCAAATTGATTAAAATTATTTTCTATTTTTCAGTTGGATTTTCTATAAAAGCGTATTTTGTTAGTTTTTTTAAAACTATTATTAATTTTTTATTACAATATTATGAAGTTTGTGACCGGATACGTCTGGGCTTTATGCAATAAACTCAACTGAATCATTTGTACTTCCCAGGTAAAGTGTACGCAATGATGTCGATGAAGACGACTCTATCGTTCCTGTTGAGGCGGTACCGCGTCAGCTCTGACGTCACGGACCTGGAGTTCAAGCTGGAGGCCATACTGAGGCCGCACAGAGGACACTATATAGCCATCGAGAGGAGAAGCAAAGACGATAAATAAGTTAACTGAAGAAGCGACTGTCAGGGGTCAAGCCCCACGCCTCATGATCCAGCAGCAACCCACTCCGCGTAATGCTGTGTCGCGCTGGGGCTCGAGATAAATAAAAGTCTTCACCGTAATACAAATAGAAAACCACCCGCCTTTACCGCCTATTCCTGCCGTGAAGCGTTTTGGTTTGAAGGGTGGGGCAGCCGTTGTAACTATACTGAGATCTTAGAAATAATATCTCAGGGTGGGTGGCGCATTTACGTTGTAGATGTCTATGTGCTCCAGTAACCACTTAACACCAGGTGGACTGTGAGCTCGTCCACCCATCTTCTTCTTCGTCGCTGTCATCGTCCTCGTCGAACCCGTCGCTTGCGACGAAGGGCTCGACGAGTAAATTAGCCCACAGACACAGCCCACTGAGTTTCTCGCCGGATCTTTTCAGTGGGTCGCGTTTCCGATCCGGTGGTAGATTCTGCGAAGCACTGCTCTCGCTAGGGTCAGTGCAACGCTCCGGTTTGAGCCCCGTGAGCTCCACGTCAAGGAGAAGCTGAAATAACTTCGCAATGCTATCAGCAAAGGTAGGACAAAAAGCGTCACCGCCTACAGCATTCCATTATTCGCAGCGAGCGCACGTACTCCGGCGGCGGCGGCGCATTACTTGCATTCGATAACACTCACAGCTTGCATATTTTATTTGTTTATACTTTAGGGTTTGTAGGGTTTGTAAATACTTGTAGTATATTTTGTATAATTTGAATTCAAGTTCTTGATTTTTTTTTTATAAACCTTATAATGTACTTTTAATCTAAAATATTTCCCAATTATAATGTTTAAAAATAATAATTTAGTAATTTGTGATTAGTTAATACATATTTGTTAGCTTTGATCAGTGATACATATAAAATAGGTTATTTTTCTTGACTTGCTTTGGTTAGATAGTTTTTTTTTTTTCTAAAAATCAGGACGTCCTCAATGTTAGACCTGTGGAAAAAGTACATGTTTGTTAGCTCAGGTTAGTATCTATCAGGTTAGTAATACACACTTCGTTTGTTTTCTATACCTAGTTAAAATATTAGGTTTACGCGTCTTAATAGTTATTAAACTGTAATAAAGTTAAGCTGTGTAATAATCTGTATGTATTTATAATTTAGTTTTATGATAAGTACGTGTTTTTTATTACTTTATATTTGTTCATGACGATGGTCATTGCTTAGATATGTGGACGAGCTCACAGCCCACCTGGTGTTAAGTGGTTATTGGAGCCCATAGACATCTAAAACGTAAATGCGCCACACACCTTGAGATATAAGTTCTAAGGTCTCAGTATAGTTACAACGGCTGCCCCACCCTTCAAACCGAAACGCATTACTGCTTCACGGCAGAAACAGGAGGGGCGGTGGTACCCACCCGCGCGGACTCACAAGAGGTCCTACCACCAGTAAAAATAGAGAAAATAATTGTGTAATTATAAATATAGTAGACTTTTAATGTGTGTTTAAATGGTTTTTATTGTTATATCATTAAGTTTTGGCGTGTCATTCTATGATTACTTTATAGATCAAAATTTTACAAGTATTGTATACAAGTATATAATTATATGGTATGCGAATTAATGTTATCACGTCTTATTCCTTTTGTCCAATTTAATATGATGACCAGTTGCCGGCTTCAACAGGACGCCCAGCCGATGCTCGGTGTTCGAGATGTCTCCTGTGACTTTGTAATGACGGAACACGTGCACTAGCAATACTTTCATGGACATCATAGCGTAGACCTTTCCTGCACAGAAATTTATGGGAATCGGATATTGACTTTCGAGGAGTTTAGGATCCACTTCAATCTCCGAGCTGATGATACAACGAGTCAACCGGTGGCATCACGCACTGTGGAACCCACGGTCTTCTTGTTCCAAAATGGTTATCGGAGCCTAAGGACATCGGAAGCGAATGCCGGTGTCCACCTTGAAATATGAGGTTTTAGTCTCAATTATTGGAACGAAGTTCATTATGGGACGATGCGGGGGGGTACCCTAACCGAGAAAAAACGTCAGTAACGTAAGATTTTTGTCTATTTAGTTTGTTATCAACAGATGTCGCTGCACGTCAATACAACAATTCCTGAATCGCGGTGACGAGATGTTACACAGTTGATAGACGTTCTCGTATTTCTCTTGCTAAATCATATTTACCTGGCGTAGAGGGATACCGTGATCATTAAGGAGATTCCACCCGGGCGAGGCTGTTCCATTACACTGCGGAGTGGTTGCGATTATTCTTATTTTGCCAATAAAAAAATCATAATAAAAAATTTATACCCGAATAAATATTTTCTTTATACCTCGAATAGAACTTAAAATTAATATTTTTATGAAATATGGAACTTCGTTCCTATCCGGTGTCCCACGATACTACACATCTTTTTTAGTAAAACAGTAGACATGCGCAAAACATCACTTCCCAATGTAATGTGATATGACATCACTTTTACAGACAGGTGATATTACTCGAAAACATTACACATCACTCATAACACAATAGATACTGTGACGACGAATACATCGTATCTATACACCCGAATCATTACCTAAGTGATGGTGTCATTACAGTAGTGTATTACAATACAAAGTATGAACTTTGTATTGTAATACACTGTTATATTACTTGACAGAGATTGACTTACTTAATAATATAATAATTTTATTTTTTACTTAATATAATTTATTGTGGGATGAACGGATTTCATATGGCGACTTAGACTGCAAATTGAGCTCGACAATAATGTTAATTAATATATTATACGAGGNTATTACAATACAAAGTATGAACTTTGTATTGTAATACACTGTTATATTACTTGACAGAGATTGACTTACTTAATAATATAATAATTTTATTTTTTACTTAATATAATTTATTGTGGGATGAACGGATTTCATATGGCGACTTAGACTGCAAATTGAGCTCGACAATAATGTTAATTAATATATTATACGAGGATGCATTGTTTCGGCGCGATATCTTCAAAGTGCATCCAAGGAGGACTGTACTTTCATTTAGACGCCGTTATTTCTTTCACTTATTAAACACGCATTAAAACAAATAATAAAACTATCTTCAAACAAGTGCTTAAGTAATTCAAATCAAACACAAAAATTAATATGAAATATTACTAAACAATTACAAGCGACTAGCGATTTTACAAAAGTTGCGAATAAAAAATTAAGTAACTACTTGCGGGGAACTACCGGCTGGCCGCATGAAAAATATAAACACAAATACCTATATTAAAATTCAGACGTACCATATGTACCTAGCGGCCAGGGCATACGGTTCAAAATCACTAGGAATAATTCCGTGTCTCTTGCTCATTTATTTTGCGTCGATCGGTCTGTCTCGCTCGCTCGGTTCCGTTCGTGTATTAAGCAACATTACACGACAAAGAATGATTACTTACACATGTCTATAAAACAGCTGCTCCATTCTTCAAGGCGGAATGCACGACTGCTTCGCGCAAGAAATGCGCAGGTACCTTCAGTACCTTGCACCCGACCACTTATGATGCGAAGAAATATGTATATTTACATTGGAGCTAGAAGAATATAAATATATATATATAGTATTAGGATTCGATGCCTACTAACCAATGCAATTTCGTTTCCCCATGCTGAAGGGAGCAAAGACATTAAGGTTTTCAGTGAACCATCGTTCGGGCCTGAATTGATGGGCGTCCGGTCCCCACTGCGGATGCTGGTGCAGGGTCCCCAACATAATACTTATAGAGCTTCCTTTAGGTATTGTATAATTTTCTGCAATTTGATAAAAATATGTCACCTGGATAAGAGCTACGTACCATCCGGCTTTGGAATGAGCTCCCCTTCGCGGTGTTTCTCGAACGCTATGTATGACATGTCCTTCTTCAGCCGAGCCTTGTGGAGAGTATTAAGCGGTAGGCAGCGGCTTGGCTCTGCCCCTGGCATTGCTGAAGTCCATGGGCGACGGTAACCACTCACCGTGGTGGGCCGTATGGCAATAAGGGCAATCAAAAAAAAAAGCAAAGAGGGACGTCTAGAGCAAATTCCATTCTGCAAATTTCGTAGAGGAAAGCTCTCTGTACCGTGTCCCGGCGGCCTCATCACCGCATGTCGAGAGGCCGCATCGTTACCACTACCGCCGTTACAAGTGAGGGTACTGGTGATTACGGCAATATTAACACCACTGAATATAGCAAAATATAGAATATATAGAATGAATAGTAGCAGACATAAAATACTGCACTATTTAAAAGTCAGTTGAGTAAGAGTGACTTTTATTTAACGCTGGGGAATTGCGCTTTACGGATAACCGGCCACGGGGAGTAGCGGGCCAAGTTACGTTAGACTCCAGCGCCTCCAAAGAACAAGAGGGAGAGCTCACGGACAGAAGCCCTCGCCCTCTTCCGAATGATCTTAGGAGACTAGGGTTTGATAATGGCGTGTGAGACCCACCCCAAAGAGCGATATCCGACTATATCTCATCGAGCTCCTCCACTCCGGCTAAGCGGGAACCCAGATACCGCCATGTGCGCAGAGTGACATTGCTATTTGAGCGGAGAGGGACGTGCACATGAACTTATAACAACGACACTGTGTTTGGTCGGCCTAAGATAATAAATTTTTTTTAAAAGTTCTGTTCTTTTTTTTATTGCCCTTGTAGGCAGACGAGCATACGACCCAGCTGATGGTGAGTGGTTACCGTTGCCCATGGACTTCAGCAATGCCAAAAAATGTATGTTCAAATGTCAATTAGGCTTCGGAAACCTTTCACTCTCAGAGTTGGTTGTCTTATACGTTTAAAGAAAGCTCCGAAGTTCCATCGTTGTTTCCTCTGTCACATATGGCAAGAGGACACTTGTAGAAGCCCTCACTTGCTGTTATGGTTTTTAGCTTTACTCAGATTACCTTTACATACATTTACCACAGTAAGACGACGGACGAAAGCGCGGGCTAAGAGAATACTAATCAAACTCCGCTAGTAGAAGGGTCTTTGATGGTTAAACTATTGTGGGGAAAGTACATTCTCCCCTACTTCTTCATAATATTTACACAGATACAGTTACTCTTACGCGCTACTGATCCAAGGTCTCAAATCATCATCATTTTCCTGCCTTTCTCCCAGTTACCTGGGGTCGGCGCAACATGTTTTCTCCTTCTATACTCCTCTATCATATACCATTTCTTCGCTCGCTCCCCTCTTACACATTTTTTTTTATTGCTTAGATGGGTGGATGAGCTCACAGCCCACCTGGTGTTAAGTGGTTACTGGAGCCCATAGACATCCACAACGTAAATGCGCCACCCACCTTGAGATACAAGTTCTAAGGTCTCAAGTATAGTTACAACGGCTGCCCCACCCTTCAAACCGAAACGCATTACTGCTTCACGGCAGAAATAGGCAGGGTGGTGGTGTACCTCTTGTGAGTCCCGCGCGGACTCACAAGAGGTACTACCACCAATAATATCGTCTTTCACGCAGTTCATCCATTTCTTCTTAGGTCTACCTCTTCCTCTATATCCTTCCACATTCATAATAACACTCTCTTACCAACCTAATTTTCATTTCATCTCATCACATGTCCATACTATCCCAAACGCGCACTTCTCAACTTCTCTGTCACAGGTGCCACTTTCAGATTTCCTCTAACACATTCATTTCGTGTTCTATCCATTCTCGTTACTCCACACATCCATCGCAACATTCGCATCTCTGCTGCATGCAATCGCCTTTCAAGGTCTCTAATGTCAAGAATTATTATAGAGCACACATTGCAAATACTTACTGAGTTTTAAGTCAATATCAGTTTTTCTTGCTATCGCAGGTACAACAGTGTATATCCTCAGAGTCTCCTTGATCACCGCCTCCAAATAAACGAGTTTTGGTAGGACATCTTTCGTGACATCTTTGTTGTCACCTACTTCGGCTAATATCCTGAACATAAATATATTTGTTTCTTTAAGTTTGCCTACATTTGATTAAGAAGCAAATATTTTTAATGGAATTGTAATAAAAGTTTTTATGTTTTTATTTATTGCTTAGAAGGGTGGACGAGCTCACAGCCCACCTGGTGTTAAATGGTTACTGAAGCCCATAGACATCTATAACGTAAATGCGCCACCAGTGGCGTAGCTACCTAGGGGCTAGGCGGGGCAGTGCCCCGGGGCCCTCAAGCTCAGGAAGCCCTCGAATCCTTACCAGAAATCTCGATCGAACTGAACTTTTGGAATTGTCTCCTATTTTCAAAATAGGCTGCAACTCCACTTCAATCATGACAACTCAGTTGAGAGAAATTCAAAAGTTATGGCTAGGGAATTAACTTTTGAATTTCTCTCAACTGAGTTAGAAGAGGTAGACCTAAGAAGAAATGGATGGATTGTGTGAAAGACGATATGGGTAGGAGGGGAGTGAGCGAAGAAATGGTATATGATAGAAGAGTATGGAAGGAGAAAACATGTTGCGCCGACCCCAGGTGACTGGGAGAAGGGCAGGATAATGAATGGCTAGGGAATTCCCTTAAATTCTTTCTGTAGGTTGGCAGTGTTCTCAATTTGATATGTGCCTTTTATTATTCATCGATGTGCGCTTTATTGTGAATTCGAGTTAAGATTTTTTTTCGAGAACGGTTAAAAATTAATGCTGTATCAGGAGTAAGTAAACTCGTAGAGGCCGCGCGGCGCGTAACCAGCACTCTAGCGCGCCGCCAAGGAGATACGATACACCGGTGTATCGCGTCCCGACCCGGCAGACTGGTTCTGGTCCAGCGGGGTATTCCGGGACACCAGCGGCTCCGTCTGGGCGGCCTGACGGGCTGCCGTACCGAGACGGCCGACGTTTCAGAGCCTTCGATTCGCCTCGAAGGCTCCAGCGGTCGGGCATCCTTGGGGTGAGCTGCGTCGTCTGGTTGTAGTGTTGACCGCGGTAACCCCCTTACCTAATCCGGATTTTGACCTCGGAGGGGATCGGATGCTTGGGCGAAGAGTGCAGGGGAGTCGTTTAGTGGGTAGGGTCCTGAAAACATCCTTGGGCCCGCGGTCTCGCAGTCGCGGACCAGTCCCACACAGACCGCGCGGCCCCTACACGCGGGGACCTCGTAGGAGGTTAGACCCCAGCCCGAAAAGAAAAAAGGCCCGACCTTTATATAATAATCCCTTGAATCTTTTCTATTCCGTTTTATTAGCCAAACCACACATACACCAACTATTAATTGTAATTTATGTTGTTACTGTTTAATATTTTTATTACCTGCCTTGCAGTGCACAAAAAAGGGCTTAAGTAGCTTAGCATTTTTAAAGTATCTGTATATTTCTTATTTTTATTTGATGAAACCTAATCAGTTTACATAGCAGTGGGGCCCCATTTTTCAATTTGCCCCAGGGCCCTTGGTTACCTAGCTACGCCACTGTGCGCCACCCACCCTGAGATATAAGTTCTAAGGTCTCAAGTATAGTTACAACGGCTGCTCTACCCTTCAAGCCGAAACGCATTACTGCTTCACGGCAGAAATAGATAAGGTAGGTACCACCAGGCGGACTCACAAGAGATCCTACCGCCAGTAATTACGCAAATTATAATTTTGCGGGTTTCATTTTTATTACACGACCTTGTTCCTTCTCTCCAAAATCTGCAACGAAAAGTGATGCTTCTGGTCAACGTATTTATTATTTTTTATTGACAGGGGCACAGCCAGGCCGCTGCCTAATGCTGAGGACTGGTCTGCACCTACATACGTTTGAAGATATACTATGATTATACTCGTAGTATATATTATAAGATTACATATTATGGCCCTTAGGAAACTGTTAGGAAGTAAATTTCAGAGTTTCATGGTGCAATGATAAACCGCGTTTGGGAATTTTCTTAAATCATTCCACAGAGCACTCCAATTTACTGTCGCCTGCAGTAAATATTGGGCATATTTTACATGTGTAACGTCTAAGAAGCCGTTAGCCACTAGAGACAATTATTAATAAACTAGCGACCCGCCCTCGCTTCGCTTCGGAAACATTAAAACACACAGGAAACCAAAAAAATAAAATAAAAAAAAAATAAAAAAAAGTAGCCTATGTTCATCAGGGACAATGTCGGCTTCTAATGGAAAAAGAATTTTTCAAATCGGTCCAGTAGTTTCGGAGCCTATTCGAAACAAACAAACAAACAAATCTTTCCTCTTTATAATATTAGTATAGATTAGTATAGATATCATAGAGGTATCGCTCCACTAGCTTTATGAATATCGGCATCCAACCGACCGTATTCTGTCTGTCTATAATGGCAATTAAAAATAAAGTCTACCACCATTAAGAACACGTTTATTTTAAACTTCATCATCATTATCCTCTTGTGATTCTCAATAGATAAAATAATAATTAAAAAAAAACGAACAAAATACGCTTTTATAGAAAGTCCAACTAAAAAATAGAAAATGTGGTGCTTTGTGGTGGTGGATATTATCAAAATAACCTTTCTACTCATATCTGTTCATAAATTATTTGTAATTACTGATACCATGCACCGCACGCTTTTTTTACAATAAAATTATTTTTCTTACACTATTTTTAATTCAAATTTATTAAAATTTATTTTCTATTTTTTGGTTGGATTTTCTATAAAAGTGTATTTTGTTAGTTTTTTTAAACTACTATTTAATTTTAATTTTTTAGTTGTATTTCAATTTTTTCAATTTTTTGTTTTAAATTTTTTTAATTGTTGTATTGTCATCGGTCCATTATAAGTATACCTAATTTCGAGTTAATCCGACGTTTTGAAGGGGGTCAAAATCGTGTCCAAAGAGACCGTTACATACTAACATACATATGTCTGAAGCTAATAAAAGCGTGTTAATAATATTAATTAATTATTTTAAACTTACTCATCATATATTTTTTGCTGCACCTCGGGATACGACCCCACTACTGTTAACAAATAAATCAATGCGGTGGCAGAAGTATCAAAGGAGGCTATAAGGAATACATCTATTTGTTCTCGTATTTCCTCGTCAGTCAAAAACTGCTTGGATTTGTCTTGATCGAGAATAAAATCTAACAAGGATATAGTTTCTTCTGTAAAAAGAAAACAAGATTCATTGTTGATAGAACAAATACAGCAATGTTGATTTTAATTTACATACGAGTATATACGCGTCACTTAATTTAGTTCGCTTGTTTATTTAAGTCGCCTACAAATAAATTTCGTAGTAAGTCGCTTAATTTAGTTACAATTGTGCAAAACAACAACGAATCATTTTAATTTGGTTTTCAAATTATGTTCGTTCATTAAATATCTTTTGTATTTTAAATAAATTCAGTCAAGGTTTTCTTTAAAATCGTTGGTATAACACAGGCTAACAAAAAAATAAAACGGTTTTTTGGAACGAAGTTCCGTATGGGATGATGCATAGGGGTACCCTAACCGGGAAAAAACGTCCGTAACGTAAGATTTTTATTATCTATGTATGTCTTAGTATGATAGATATACAGTGTCTAATGTATAGTCTGTGTGATGACGGTTATTATTATTCATATAAATAGCTGTTTCTTTGTATATTATTATTATATATTTTTAATAAATCATTGTGAATAAAATACAGTTAATAACTTTGTAGTTTTTTTTTATCAATAAAAAATCACAATAAAAAATGTATATCCGAATAATTATTTTCTTTATACCTCAAATAGAACTTAAAATTAATATTATTATAATAAGGAACTTCGTTCCTATCCGGTGTCCCACGACACCACACTTCTTTTTGTAAAATGCATGATTATGCCACGTAGGGTGAGCCTTGTCGTGAATTAGGCACGGATAGGAGCCACTATCCGGCCTATTTCTGCCGTGTAACTGGTTAAGTCCGTCACTTCATCGACAGCAGTACTTAATGAAGGTCTCTCCGCAGCTGCCTCACATACTTATAAACTGTCTCTTTAAACTCCTGCTCTATAAGAAGTTTGCGAATATCGATCATTTCTTCAGAGAAAATAAAAGTGGACAGCTTGAGAAAATAAGGTAATAATGCGATTAACCAAGAACTCTACGTATGTTACTCACCGGTTCTACAATTCAAATCCTTTTCAGAAGTAGAATTGAATTTCCTTTCCAATCTTTTTTTCTTGATTGCCTGTCAAAGGGAAAAAAGATAAATTCGAAATATCTTTGAGCAATACATTTTTATTCGCTAAGACAACTCAGCGGCAATTCAGGCTGTAGATAAGATTGCCTAAATGCTGCTGTCCAAGAGATGTAAGATTTAAGTTTCCCTTCAAAGTCGAACGAATTATTATTTTGAGGGAGGTTGGGTTGGAGGTACGCTTGTTTTCCTATGAAGGCGATATAATTTTTGTTTGTTACTAGCTGACCCGGCAGACTTCGTAGTGCCTCAATCGATAAATAAAAGACCTATGATTTTGTATAAAATAAACTTAAAACAAACAAAAGGAATCCGTCCGACGGGGGACACATCAAAGGAAAAACAAAATCGTTATATTTATTGAATTCCGAACATTTTCATATTTATCTACCTTTTAAACCTTCTCTGGATTTCCACAAATAATTCAAGACCAAAATTAGCCAAATCGGTCCAGCCGTTCTCGAGTTTTAGCGAGACTAACGGACAGCAATCATTTTTACATATACAGAAGAGAAGATAAGCGAGTTAGGTTGGTAGTTTCTTATGCGTGTTCCTATGTTAAAACTTACATTTAGACTATAGCTGTGTATGATATTTGTACATTTATCTAGTCGTTTCTTCAAATCTGAGAAGCTAAATAAATAGTCGCTGTACCACCATATTTTGGAGAATCTTTCAGAAACAATGTGAAGGAATTCTTCAACGCTTTGAACATATGTGTCACATTTATCGGCTATTTCATCTATATGGTATCCTGCTAGGGTTTCTGAAACCAGAATTTCTTTTGTTAGAATAGAATATCTCTAGGGGTTTGTTAATGTTAAATATTGGTAAGGTTTTATTTATTTATTGCATAGATAGGTGAACGAGCTCACAGCCCACCTGGTATTAAGTTGTTACCGGAGCCCATAGACATCTACAGCGTAAATGCCGCTACCCACCTTGAGATGTGAGATCTAAAGTCTCAGTATAGTCACAACGACTGCCCCACCCTTCAAACCGAAACGCATTACTGCTTCACGTCTGAAATAGGCAGGGTAGTGGTACCTATCCGCGCGGACTGAAAAGAGGTCCTACCACCAGTAATTACACAAATTATAAATTTGCGGGTTTGATTTTTATTGTACGATGTTATTCCTTCACCGTGGAAGTCAATCGAGAACATTTGTTAAGTACGTATTTTATTTGTACCCGCCTGCGGGATTCGATCCCCGTTGCGTCGCTCGATACAAATGCACCGGACGTCTTATCCTTTAGGCAAGGTAAAAAATAATTCCAAAGTAACATCGAGACGGCTCCCCGTAGCCAAAATAACTTACGCAGTGAGGATTCCAAATTGTTTATCAAAATGGGATGATGGTGGTCAAACGAGCCCGGCCCGTGCGCTGCGAACTGCATGATCAGTCTCCTTCCCTGGTTGTTGAAAATGTCCATGAAGTTGTTGAGGATTTGTTGTTTGAAAGCCGGATTTAACGCCTTCCTTTGTTGTTTCCAAAGTGGAACTGGTGACAAACTCATTATTATCTATATATATAAAAATGAACTGCTGTTCGTTAGTCTCGCTAAAACTCGAGAACAGTTTATTTTATACAAAAGTTTAGGTCTTTTATTTATCAATTGAGGCACTACTAAGTCTGCCGGGTCAGCCAGTGTAATCATAAAGAAGAGTTCATTAAACAAAAACTTACGCTTCGCACAAAGTATTGCATTTCCTATGTAAGCGTTTGAGAAATCATAGAAGAATCCTTTTGCTAAGCAGTTGGTGGCGACAACAGCGCTGTCATCCGGGTCAGCAACAACTGAGGGTCAAAAAATTGATCTTTGAATATTTTTAGGTGTTTCTTGCGGATATCCCGCGGCCATCTTTGTAGCCGGCTTGTTGGAGATTTAGATTTAATTGATTTAAATCTTGTGACACTCGCTAGAGAAAAATGTGTGAAAGTATCTACATATCCAGAATGTATAATAAATATTGAATATAATTTGTTCTAATTAGAGTTTGAATTGTAACCAAGTTCTACTGGAATAATAACAGTCACCCACGACCGAGACGAATCGAATGACTTTTCCCATATTCCGCCAGAATGGCAGGACCGATCTTTGTAGCGAAGCTTGGGGGAGGCCTATGTCTAGCAGTGGACGTCTGTGGGGTGGGCTGATATAATAGAATTCCGTCAGAAGGTTTAGGTGATAAACATATGCTTAAAATGAATTGCTCTACTTGGTTAGTCGAGTAGATAGCACGCTCAAAAGCTCAGTGTCCTGACGGCTGAGATTCACGCTGGTGTCGGGTGATGGGAAGATGCTGTCATTCAGTTGCTTTAGCAAATACATATGTCAAGTTTGCAAGTAAAATTAAGCGAAAATGTTTTTCTCTGAGACTTACCGTAAACCTTTATAGGTCCAAAGTTCACTGAAACAACCCCACCTAGTTTAATGGCTTCTTCTCCTAGCCATTTAAATGTTTTGTGGATGTCTGGAAAATAACATAACATACCATATCATACATAACAGCACACTGGTGGCTAACCAACCACCACCCTGCCTGTTTCTGCCGTGAAACAGTAATGCGTTTCGGTTTGAAGGGCGGGGCAGTCGTTGTAACTATACTGAGACCTTAGAACTTATATCTCAAGGTGGGTGGCGCATCTACGTTGTAAATGTCTATGGGCTCCAGTAACCACTTAACACTAAGTGGGCTGTGAGTTCGTCCACCCATCTAAGCAATAAAAAAAACTGTCGTGCGTATTGCTGGTGCGCTGGCAGGGATGACTCGGTACCATGGGTGCGTATTTCGGTTGATAGTTTGGAGGTTAACGAAAAAGGTAAGGCTTTCCACCGAGCTCGTGACATTGCTCGGTAGACCGACGGTCCGAATGTTGTTGTTCAGAGCTTGTAACTAGTCAGGTCATAAGTATTGTCACACAGTAAAAACTTTTCTTTTAGAATGCTGGCCACAAAAAAGTTTATTCAATTCGAATTTCGAATTGTTCATGAAAATAAAAATGTATACTTTTAGAATTTTACTCATTTTTAAATATGGAGTGGACGCTTAAAGAAGACCGTGTTGCAGTTATTGCGTTGCATCGTTGCGGTTACGCGCCAATTCAAATTTTTAACATACTGAAAAATTTGAATATAACCAAAAGATTCGTTTATCGTACCATCAAACGATACAATGAAGACTCTAGTGTAGATGACAGGTCAAGAAGTGGTCGCCCTCGGTCTGTTAGGACTCCAGCAGTGATAAAAGCTGTGAAGGCGCGAATTCAAAGAAATCCCAAACGTAAGCAGAAACTGTTGGCCCTTCAGATGGGGTTAAGCAGAACCACGGTGAAAAGGGTGTTAAATGAAGACTTAGGGCTTCGGGCATATCGAAGAAAAACAGGACATCGTTTGAATGCTCGTCTAATGGACCTGAGACTGAAGAGATGCCGCGCTTTGTTGAAGCGGTACGCGGGAAAAAAATATCGGGAAATTCTTTTTTCGGATGAAAAAATTTTTACCGTAGAAGAGAGCTACAACAAACAAAATGATAAGGTGTACGCACACAGTAGTGAAGAAGCGAGCAACCGTATTCCGCGTGTCCAACGAGGTCATTTTCCATCCTCGCTCATGGTATGGTTGGGAGTTTCTTATTGGGGCTTAACAGAGGTACATTTTTGTGAGAAAGGTGTAAAAACGAATGCAGTTGTGTATCAAAATACAGTCCTGACGAACCTTGTGGAACCTGTTTCTCATACCATGTTCAATAACAGGCACTGGGTATTCCAACAAGATTCGGCGCCAGCTCATAGAGCGAAGAGCACACAAGACTGGCTGGCGGCGCGTGAAATCGACTTCATCCGGCACGAAGACTGGCCCTCCTCCAGTCCAGATTTGAATCCGTTAGATTACAAGATATGGCAACACTTGGAGGAAAAGGCGTGCTCAAAGCCTCATCCCAATTTGGAGTCACTCAAGACATCCTTGATTAAGGCAGCCGCCGATATTGACATGGACCTCGTTCGTGCTGCGATAGACGACTGGCCGCGCAGATTGAAGGCCTGTATTCAAAATCACGGAGGTCATTTTGAATAAACTTTAGTGTCATAAGAATCTATGTTTTGTTAAGTTCATTTTGGTATATGAATGGTTACATAATGAATAAACTTGTTTCAATTATTTTACATTAAACATGTGACAGAATTTATGACCTGACTAGGTATATATGCAAAGCTTATCTTGAAAATGTTGTAAACGAGATTCAGGCGTATGTTAAATATATTTTTGTTGTATGATAACTACCACCACAATTTGGTTAAAAACATATATATATTTAAAAATGGGTATAGCTTTCTGTATATTTAATGGATATTTCGTCAGTTAAGGCCTAATATTTTGAGAGTTATGCTGGGAGTCCTCAACAGAGCGAAGCGGTACTTCACGCCTGGACAAAGACTTTTGCTTTATAAAGCACAAGTCCGGCCTCGCGTGGAGTACTGCTCCCATCTCTGGGCCGGGGCTCCCAAATACCAGCTTCTTCCATTTGACTCCATACAGAGGAGGGCCGTTCGGATTGTCGATAATCCCATTCTAACGGATCGTTTGGAACCTCTGGGTCTGCGGAGGGACTTCGGTTCCCTCTGTATTTTGTACCGTATGTTCCATGGGGATTGCTCTGAGGAATTGTTCGAGATGATACCGGCATCTTGTTTTTACCATCGCACCGCACGCCACCGGAGTAGAGTACATCCATACTAACTGGAGCCACTGCTGTCATCCACAGTGCGTTTCCAGAGGTCTTTTTTGCCATGTACCTACCGGCTATGGAATGAGCTCCCCTCCACGGTGTTTCCCGAGCGCTATGACATCTCCTCCTTCAAACGAGGCTTGTCGAGAGTATTAAGCGGTAGACAGCGGCTTGGCTCTGCCCCTGGCATTGCTGAAGTCCATGGGCGACGGTAACCACTCACCATCATGTGGGCCGTATGCTCGTCTGCCTACAAGGGCTCCCATGCGCTGGTCCGAACAGATTAAGACGACTGGTGGTAGGACCTCTTGTGAGTCCGTGTGGGTAGGTACCACCACCTTGCCTCTTTCTGCCGTGAAGCAGTAATGCGTTTCGGTTTGAAGGGCACGGCAGCCGTTGTAACTATACTTGACACCTTAGAGATTATATCTCAAGACGGATGGCGCATTTACGTTGTAGATGTCTATGGGCTCCAGTAACCACTTAACACCAGGTGGGCTGTGAGCTCCTCCACCCGTCTAGGCAATAAATAAAAAACTTGGGACTCCAGCATCCATGTCGCTATCCACTGCGCGGAGTACAGGAGTGAATGGAGGAACATAGTCCTGACAAAAGTGCTCCGTAAAGGTCACGACCCTCAGCACTGAGGAATACGACGCACGGAGGGAGGTATTAGTTTAGGTAAAATGCTTCAAAAACGTCCGTAGAACCCGGCAGATAAGATAGGCACCCGACTTGCGTGAACCGTGCTTGCTATCCTTGAGACGGAGAAAAGTTGAAACTTACGTTTACCGTCGCCGAAAAACATTAAGCCGTGTCCAATGATCGGTAACTTCCCCGGCAGCTCCGGGATCCCTGTTCCCGGCAGCCTCATCGACCACACGAATAAATACAACAACACGCCGAGCAAGAGGAGGACGAGCATCCTGATGCCAATCGGGAACCTTCTTGCGAAGTAGAATTTATAAATCAAAAACGAGGAATTCAATAGTCACTCTGTGACGATTTCATTTAAAAACCTCTGAATACGTTGTACTAGAGGAATGCGAAGCTAATTCCGCAATAAAGGGAGTCATTGACGAATCGATGAATATAATTATAATATTTGATTATGTCAGTCATGAATTGTTGGAAATAATGTTTTGTTAGGGTTCTATGGCCAAATCGTAAAGAAATTAATAAAAACTGTGTTGCTTTTTTATGAAGAAATGATTACTGGTGACCTGGAGATCTTTTCAGTTTCACTAGGACAGGTGGGCGAGCACGGGTTCAACCAGGAGGGGTTTGCTAATATCCCGAGCGCCTCCAAAGGAAAAGCTAGAGAGCAGCCGCTTCGCGAATACGTCCACTACCAGATCGGAATCGCGACCCGCTGTGAAGATCCGGCGATAAACTCAGCGGGCTGATGCGTGGGTTGGGTTGCACGGTTATCAAGGTCCCTAAGCCTGCCCCTAGCTGAAGGCGTCTAATAATAGCGTAAGTAGATCGGAAGGATCCGTAAAGACATGTTCTGTGTTGCTATTACTAAGTTGCTATAAATAATTTGAGAACTCAAGGTGTCAAAAACATAATAGAATTGGTGAAAAATACGAACTGCACATGAGTGTGCATAGTTAGAGAAGTTTTAAAATGTTTCTAAGTGACGTTTATTAAGTCTACAGCCAATATGGATTTTTGAAATCGTAAAATAGGAATCTCTGTTCGACTTAAGAAAAGAAAAAAATAACTTAAACATTTTAGTGGTGGCAGCTTCCAAGCATTCCAGTACACCATACACCAGACATAAACCAAGGAAGTTGCAGACAAGATTGGCACCGTATTTAGATTAGCATCTGTAAATTAATTTTATAGGCTCACAAGTAACTAAACCAGTACCTAAGCTCTGTAAGTGTAAATATCTTCGCCAGGTTCTGGCGTCCATGTACTGGACTGTGGCTGTGGGCTCGCATACATTGGACAAACGAAGAGACACATTTCGCTTAGAGCTAAGGAGCACTTTGTGGATAGAAAAGAACTCTACATAGTGGTATTGTTAAGATTTGATAAAATCCAAACGCTCACTGCTAATGGAAACAAACTAATTACACGTACAGGGCGCCATTGAAATAAAGAAACACCCTAATTTTATTACAGAACTAGTTGACCCGGCAGACTTCGTAGTGCCTCAATCGATAAATAAACGACCAAAGCTTTTGTATAAAATAAACTTAAAACAAACAAAAGGAATCCGTCCGACGGGGACACATCAAAGGAAAAACAAAATAGTAATTTTTATTTACTTCCGAGCATTTTCATATTTATCTACCTTTTAAACCTTCTCTGGACTTCCACAAATAATTCAAGACCAAAATTAGCCAAATCGGCCCAGCCGTTCTCGAGTTTTAGCGAGACTAACGAACAGCAATTCATTTTTATATATAGAGATTAACGGTTGACGCTTATCAAATACCTGTAATCAACTTATCGTAAAGATGAAAAAGATGATGTGTTCGTTCTTTTTATGGGAAAGGAAACATAGAATGTCAAGAAATGCTTTTTTAAATGAAAATGCTTTTTTATAGGAAATTTAACGGCAATTGCACAATATTCAAATGTCAACGAATAAACACCTCAGTCGTCCGTGACTGGTAAAACAATGAAATATTCGAAACAAAGAAAATAATAAAATCCGGAGATTAAACGCGAGAAAATAAGAGCGGTTATAATTGTATCCACGTCTCGCGGAAACCGAAGATTTTTTTATTGCTTAGATGGATGGACGAGCTCACAGCCCACCTGGTGTTAAGTGGTTACTGGAGCCCATAGACATCTACAACGTAAATGCGCCACCCACCTCGAGATATAAGTTCTAAGATCTCAGTATAGTTACAACGGCTACCCCACCCTTCGAACCGAAACGCATTACTGCTTCACGGCGGAAATAGGCGGGGTGGTTGTACCTNTTTTTTATTGCTTAGATGGATGGACGAGCTCACAGCCCACCTGGTGTTAAGTGGTTACTGGAGCCCATAGACATCTACAACGTAAATGCGCCACCCACCTCGAGATATAAGTTCTAAGATCTCAGTATAGTTACAACGGCTACCCCACCCTTCGAACCGAAACGCATTACTGCTTCACGGCGGAAATAGGCGGGGTGGTTGTACCTACCCGTGCGGACTCCCAAGAGGTCCTACCACCAGTGAACTAAAGTACATAGTACTTTAAAAAAAACAGTTCTTTAAATACAAGCAGTTTCCCAGTTATGACATATTTAAGTTCTGACTTTTTGCGTGACCACCAAATTGATATCTTTTTAGTGCAGGAGACCCTACTTAAGCCCGCGCGCCGTGACCCTAAAATCGCGAACTATAACATGGTCAGGAACGACAGGCTCTCTGCCCGTGGTGGTGGTACCGTCATTTACTATAGAAGAGCCCTGCATTGNCAAAAAAAAAAAAAAAAAAAAAAAAAAAAACATATTTAAGTATGTATATCGACGCTTGAAAGGCAAACGTGACTAAGCGACAATGCGTGAACTTTACAGTAGACTAATTTAAAGTTGAAATATCTGAAAACAAAATTTATTTTAACGAATCTAGTTGTAGTAGAATCTAGCTAGTAGCTGTAGGATTGAAATTATTTTAATAGACCTAGAAATATATATATTTTGCGTATCGAATATGGTTATTGCCTATCATTTATGTACAATTACAAAGCAGTTATTGTCGCTTAGTCATGTTTGCCTTGCAAGCGTCGATATATTAAGTCAGGGTTACACGTCGTTGGCTAATAGGGAAATCATTTCATTTGCCGAGTCCTAGGGCCCAACGCGGATCCCTTCACTGAAGCGACCGACGCACAATTGCCCTTTTTTTAATTAACATTGTTGTAAGTCAGTACAGAATATATTGTATAATTTTATTAAAATTTGCATTTTTTTTTAGCCTCCTCATGTTCAATGTTAAATCTATTGTTGGCTACGTAAATATTTTTTTGGTACTTAATTTTGAAATGTTTTATTTATATAGTGCTAATAGAATTAATTTAAACTCATAAATATAAATTAGCATAACATAGTTAGATTACATAATAATATGTAGATGTCAACTAATATTACAACACTGGGCTTGCATTTAATGTGGGTGCAAGTCAGCGGGTCAGAAATGTGATATAATTTCCAAATTTACGATTTAGTAGCGCTATTCTATCAGATCCACCTCTTAAACTAGACTTAAGATAGAAAAAAAAAGAATAATAAAAGCCATTGTGATCTAAGGGTAACACGTCCCGCTCATCACCGAGTGATGGGACTATGCTGGTGTTCACACCCTGCACGATTGATTTCCATGATGATGGAGGGTAGGGCATGTCGGAGTCGAACCAACTACAAACTCCTGTCACTCAAGAACCCACGTCCGAACCTCGCATGGCACAGAAGTCATGAAAAGTCAAAGGGGGGAAAGCGAAGCGCTTAGTGCGGAGCACATCTCTCCCATCACCCTCCCCCTCGGGACGCCGGACCGGCGGTCGTCGGCGCCACGACCACCAGCCCTCTCGGTCGGCGGGCTATCCGAAGTCCGCCTAGATGGCACCGGTTAGAGTGAGCTATCCTACGGAATACCCCGCTGGGTCAGAACCAGCGTGGGTCAAGAATTGCCGGCCTTCCATCACCCGGACGCTCTTGCGTAAAACGCGTGCAGAGGAACTTGCACGTCGTCTTCTTAGGCTCCACTCGCCGGTCCCCAGACCGACATGTGAGGGGGACCAAAACCATTTGGAGGGCCAGGGCTTGGGCGACATCCGCCTCCCTGGCCCCCGCTCGACGGCGGCGGGCGTCTCTTACGCGCCCCGCCACCTCTTTCTGCGAGATGATGCACTCGCAGAAGTCGAGTATCACCCTCCACGACTCGTCGTCACCGAGCATCGATGCCACAACATTTGGCAACGACAAGTCGTTTCCTATTTTTGCGACGAGAACACGGCACCACCCCTCCCATGCGGTGCAGCCGACGAGCGTATGCTCTGCCGTGTCCAAGTCGCAACCACACTGGTGGCACTCTGCCGTCGGCTCGGCTGTGATCCGGTGCAGGAACTCACCGAAACAACCATGCCCAGTGTGAGCACCTGCGTGAGCCGGAAAGTGAGGCGTCCTCTGTCACGATTCACCCAATCCAAATGAAGTCGTCGTGGCCTAACGGATAAGCCGTCCGGTGCATTCGTGTTGAGCGATGCACCGGTGTTCGAATCCCGCAGGCGGGTACCAATTTTTCTAATGAAATACGTACTCATCAAATGTTCACGATTGATTTCCACGGTGAAGGAATAACATCGTGTAATAAAAATGAAACCCGCAAAATTATAATTTGCATAATTACTGGTGGTAGGACCTCTTATGAGTCCACGCGGGTAGGTACCACCGCCCTGCCTATTTCTGCCGCGAAGCAGTAATGCGTTTCGGTTTGAAGGGTAGGGCAGCCGTTGTAACCATACTGAGATCTTAGAACTTATATCTCAAGGTGGGTGGTGCATTTACGTTGTAGATGTCTATGGGCTCCAGTAACTACTTAACAAAGGGTGGGCTGTGAGCTCACCACCCACCTAAGCAGAATGCATTAATGCAGAAGTAATGCAAATAAGGCAGCAGTTACAGTCTCATGTCTAAGAGCATCGATACCCACTTGACCAGGAGGCTGTGAAGGTATTTACCCACCTATTTTCATGAAAAATCTTGCGTGTGCTCATATGAATTAATGCGTTATTAAATTATTTCTGAACACAACATTCTCAAATTGATTTAAAATATTATTTATATAGTTATATATCTTTTTTTAAATGTAACTTAAAATTTGGATACCCAATCTGTACAATGAAATTACAATGAAACAAATGTTTGTCAACTTAAGCTTTACGATTTGATTGTGAATGTACTTGAAAAAGTAATTAATAATAAACTGGTTGTTCTGACTAGTTGCTATTGGTTTTATTGTTATTTCTCCCGCCAGCCAGAGCAGCAATAAAAACCATAATAAAAAAACATAAAGTAAATAATTGATCGTAATTTTATTTCGATAATTGTGAGGAAAATACAGAACATTGAATAAACTGCGATATTTTAACGAATAAATGCTCACAGTAACAAGATGCAAATCACAGAACCAAAAAACGGATGAAGTCAATGAAACGCCAAGAGAAGAATTAGATAAAGTCCTTTCCTATGGCACGTTGCAACTGGAGATATAGCACAAGGGTTGACATTGACAGGCTGGAGGCCAGTCCTAAAATTCATGCTAAATCCCTATGTAGCATGACAAGAGGACATCCTACGTCGACCCTATATGATGTAGCGTAGTCGCCAGAGTTGGCCTTTTTAAATACTACTTTGTAAATATTAGATATGAGCAGGTTGTTACATCCCTCAAAATACACAGATAGACTCGCGCACGCATTCTCATGCATTCTCCACATCACGTTGCATTTGAGTATAGTATCACACTTAGCCTCCCTGCAATGACTCCATGTTAAATTATTGCCATTGATTATTAGTCAGTGTATACTGGCTCCTCAAAACTTTCGAGATTGCGTTATAAAACAACGTTATCTACATTGTAATTTTTTTAAACAGTGCTTTTTATATCTGGCATCTACATCGAGAAATTTGGAAAGGATAATTTTGTTACGAATCGACAAAGTCATATTCAGGTACGAAATATCAAGGATAATTCCAAAACTGCCTTTTAAGTTTACACTAACCTATCATTGTGTGTCTGTGTGCTTAATGCGAGCTTTTTAACGTTCTCGATAGCGTAAACGTTAACTCAAGTATGGACTGGGAACGTTTGCCTGCGTTTGCCGCTAGGGGCGCTGTTCCAACTGCATACAAATTTGAGTTAACTTTTACGCTATCGATAACGTTAAAAAATTCGCATCAATCGCACTGGTCTTGACTCTTTTGTTGAGCGTCATCTTAGCGCTCACTGTCGACCATGAAATTGTAAAATCAATTACTTCGCTTCCAAATTATTGTTCTCTACTTAAGTTCGTCGTCAGCTAAAAATAGTTTTTCGTTTCTAATAGCATATAATTACCGGTTCACGACCAAACTGTTAAGTGGACACTGGGGATCAGGCTCGATTGTATTCTATAACGGCTTTTCCATCCATTATACCGAAATTTGTTTCAGCAAACATTCAGCATAAATCGCAGAATTAGGTAAAAATATGGTACCTACCAGTGAGGGCTCATGTATCACGATACTCGTCACAGCGGTGGGAGTGAATGGTGGGGAAATAACAGAAATAAAGCAATAAATAAGCAGGAATGACGGTGCCGTTGTGATAAGCTCTCCAACTCAATTTCCTCCTTATATTAAATATCTCATAGTTTACATTCCATTATAACATTCGATAACTCAACATACTTGTACATTACTTCTTCCTTTCGATTTGTTATAAGGATACATTTATTAAAAAGAAAAAATGTCCACTTGGACGATAAATCTGGAATAAAATCAAAATGAAACCATAAGGTGGCTGACCTTTATTTACGAGTACGGCATTACGAGTTTTATTTATATACTAGCTTTTGCCCGCGACTTCGTCCGCGTGTAATAGTTACTTTGGCATTACGCTACATTTTAACCGCGACTTCATTTACGTAGAAAGTGAAAATATTTTTGAATAATAGAATTTTGAAACATTCTTTATTGGTGCTCCGTTTGTATTGGTCTTAGCATGATGTTATATAGCCTATAGCCTTCTTCATTAAATGGGCTATCTAACACTGAATTTTTTTTTCAAATCGGATCAGTAGTTCCTGAGATTAGCGCGTTCAAACAAACAAACTCTTCAGCTTTATAATATTAAGTATAAATTTACGACAGACCTTTGGTATGTCGGATTAACGTCAGAGTTTAATATATTTTAGGGTTTCATCGCAAAAAGCGGCACGGGGATATATAATTGCACCAAATTGATCTTCGAGAAAATAACAGAGATCTGCCGAAAGTCAGGTAGTCGTTCGAGATGTGGTTTAACCGCTTTCGTGAAATTCTGAGACCAGTTAAATTACATTGTGAGCGTGTTAGGAAGGGCTGGCGGTGTGTGAATTACTAAAGTGCCGTGATGTTATCCGAAGAAGAAGAACATATTTGTAACATATTTCGGTAGGCAGCGGCTTGGCTCTGCTCCTGGCATTGCTGAAGTCCATGGGCGACGGTAGCCACTCACCATCAGGTGGGCCGTGTGCTCCTCTGCCTACTAGGGCAATAAAAAAATGCGTAGTTTGCTACTCACAGTTGTATACCTAAGTAGCACGGTACGTACCATACAATGTGGACAGTAGAGCTAGTGTGGTAGTTGTTTATAAAAACCGGTAAATTAAGTAAAAATCTCCTTTTTTATTTATTTTTTATTGCTTAGATGGCTTGGACGAGCTCACAGCCCACCTGGTGTTAACTGGTTACTGGACATTTAGAACGTAAATGCGCCATTCACCTTGAGATATAAGTTCTAAGGTCTCAGTATAGTTACAGCGGCTGCCCCGCCCTTCAAACCGAAATGCTTTTTTTTCCTACCTAAGCTTGAAGGCTATATCAGCGTAACCTTAACTAGTAGGTGAGCTCACGGGGCTCAAACCTGATGACGTTGCTAACACGAACCCTAGCAAGAGCCGTGCTTCGCAGAATCTACCACAGGATCGGAAACGCGACCCACTGAGAAGATCCGGCGAGAAACTCAGTGGGCTGTGTCTGTGGGTTAATTTACTCGTCGAGCCCTTCGTCTCAATCGACGGGTTCGACGAGGATGATGACCGGAAGAGAACGATGACCGGGCCGAAACGCATTACTGCTTCACGGCAGAAATAGGCAGGGTGGTGGTACCTACTCGCGGGTACTCAAAAGAGGTCCTACCACCAGTAAAAACTGTAGCTTTGAAACTTTCCTTCTGGTATAAAATCATACTTTATTGTATTGAATAACTTTAAAATCGAACTTGTAACATTTTTCTTGACCGCGGAACCATATAGTGGAGAAGGTCACACACTTCGTCCTTTTTTTACTTATTTACCAATTTTTATCCCCACTCACGTTTTCACGATACTTATTACCAGGTATATGTGTTCGTAAAATCAATTCAAGTTCTGCTATTGAATTCGTGTAATCGAGGAAAATGTTTACTGATTAAATTCATGTCCTTGACATTGTATTCAGTGCAGTGAGTAATCTATACTTATCTATATATATAAAAATGAAACCCGTTTTCCGTTGTCACGACATAACATGAAAACGGCTTGACCGATTTGGCTAATTTTGGTCTTGAATTATTTGTGGAAGTCCAGAGAAGGTTCAAAAGGTATAAAAATATGAAAATTCTAGGAATTAAATAAAAATAACAATTTTGTTTTCCCTTTGACGTGTCCCCCGTCGGACGGATTCCTTTTGTTTGTTTTAAGTTTGTTCTATATAAAAGTTTAGGTCTTTTATTTATCGATTGAGGCACTACGAAGTCTGCCGGGTCAGCTAGTCTATATATATAAAAATGAAACCCGTTTTCCGTTGTCACGACATAACATGAAAACGGCTTGACCGCTTTGGCTAATTTTGGTCTTGAATTATTTGTGGAAGTCCAGAGAAGGTTTAAAAGGTATAAAAATATGAAAATTCTCGGAATTAAATAAAAATAAGAATTTTGTTTTCCCTTTGACGTGTCCCCCGTCGGACTGATTCCTTTTGTTTGTTGTAAGTTTATTCTATATAAAAGTTTAGGTCTTTTATTTATCGATTGAGGCACTACGAAGTCTGCCGGGTCAGCTAGTAATATTATAAAGAGGAAAGATTCGTTTGCTTGTTTGTATTGAATAGGCTCCGAAACTACTGAACCGACTTGAGATATTCTTTCACTGTTTGGAAGCTACACTATTCCCGAGTGACATAGGCATAATCTTTTTTGAAAAAAATTTGAGAGCTTTACTAAAACTCCAAAAATGTAACCCAAGGGTTAAAAAAATTACCTAAAATATTCTTTACATCGCTTGCCCTGCGAAAACAATTGATGATAGAATAAAATAATGTAAGTACTACGACTTTGTAGAACACATTATTAATTACAAAAAGTGTCGCAACAGCATATGTCTAACTATTGTAGTAAAGCCGCAATAAGTGTTCTTTTATTTTAGAAAATAAAACAACGTCAAATATCGTTGCAATTTTTGTTAAGGACCCGAGCGGAGCCGGAGCGGGCCGCTAGTGTATTCTATGACTGTTACGAACTTAATTTCGACGTGCTGCACTATAGTTTCCATTCTTTACACAGCTCGTGAGTCTGTCGCGGCTCTCTCGGGTGTGGCGATAGGATTATACATATTTTTGTCAACCACAAAAAAGGTAATAATTAGAAAATAATAGCTTAAAAAAACTAACAGAATACGCTTTTATCCTCCTCCTTGCGTCGTATTCCTCATTGCTGAGGGTCCTGACCACCCTTTTGTATCACCTTTCATGCTTTTATAGACAATTAAATAATGAAAAAACCCTTCTACGCATATGTGTTCATAAAATATATATAACTACTGATACCATGCACCCCACGCTTTTGTTTATAATAAAATCATTTTTCCTTTGTCTATTTTTAATTCAAATTTATTTTCTAGTTTTTAGGTGGATTTTCTATGAAAGCGTATTTTGTTAGTTTTTTTAAACTATTATTTATTTTTCATTTTTTAGTTGAATTTCAATTTTTTCAAATTTTTTTTTTCATTTTTTTTTTGAAATATTGAATTGTCATCGGTCGTTAATAAGCATACCAAATTTCGAATTACACCGACTTTTTGAAGAGGGTCAAAATCATGTTCAAAGATTCCGTTACACACTAACATATATACCTCTGAAGCTAATAAAAGCGTAATAAAAAGAAAGTCTAGTAGGGTCTGTCGCCTCTGAGCTGAAGAAGTCTGCATAATCGTATTCGATAAGTAAAGTTAAATGTCGCTAAATTACGTCTCTATTGTGTGTGCATTTTTATACATTTTCAAGGTCGAGTCTGCTCACTAACACATTCCGCGAAATGTACTGACGTTCATGTTGTTCTTACGGAGGGTGAGCTCACTTGTGCTAATGCTATCAATGCAATCTCTAAATTTCAGCTGAAGCCTCAACATGTTTTTAGCGGTATGCTTGTTCATAATTATTGTCTGCATCGTCTATTTCGAGAAATGTCTGAGACGTAATGCGAAACTTCCGGAACTGTCTAGAAGGCTACCTTTCATTGGACATGCGCACTTGTTTGTTGGCGATAGCGTTCGTGAGTATTCATTAGTATTCATTTACGCTTATAGAAGATCGTTGTGTAGTTGTATTTCAGCCCACTGAGTTTCTCGCTGGTTCTCAGCTGGTTGCGATTCCGATCCGGTGGTAGATTCTGCGAAGCACTGCTCTTGCTAGGCCTAGTGTTAGCAAATTCTCTCAGGTTGAGCTCGTGAGCTGACCTATCCGTCCGTGCGTAGCTGGAATAGTCACCTTAGGCTATATAAAGGGGCTGGTAACCTTAGGGACTATTTTAAATAGCCCCTTAGGCTTTCAGAGAATAGGTACGGAAAACAAAAATAGTTGTCTAAGTTGTAGTTTATACCACGTTTTAAGTCTGTGCCTAGCTTTAAATCTCGCAATAAATCAAAAGAGAACGGGGGTGACTTAAAATCAGCGTTGTTCGATGCTGGACGCATATGAACAGTGTTAACTGAACCACCTTCTTTTGCCTTTTTTTTTAATTTATTTATTTATTTAATAAGATGCACCAACAAAGTGATCATCAATACAAAACATTGTACAATTGACAAAAGGCCACGGTAGATGGTGAGTGGTTACCGTCGGCCATGGACTTCAGCAATGCCATGGGCAGAGCCAAGCCACTGTCTATCCTGTGAGAAGGGCAATACATAATTTTATTATAATACCTAGGCGGCACTGAAAATTTCGGGAATTAACGAAGTGACACAACATTACTATTTAAAAATGTATTTATTGCTTTTCGAAGTATTCTCCGCGAAATTTGACACATTTTTCCATACGATGGAACCAATCATTGAAGCAACCATTCCATTCGGAAGTTGGGGTCTCCAAAATGGCCGTTTTGTAGGCGTCCACAGCTTCTTCAGGTGATGAAAATCTCTGTCCACGCAATTTATTCTTTATTTTAGGGAAAGTATAGAAATCATTAGGGCTTAGGTCGGGGCTGTACGGCGGATGGTCTAATAATTCTATGTTTTCTTGCTCTAAAAACTCTTTTGTTCTGTGCGCGGTGTGAGAACTCGCATTGTCGTGATGGAGGATGATGCGGCGGTTGCAGTTCTCTTTACGGAGTTCAGAAACGACCTGTGGCAAACAAATGCTAGCATACCATTCTGCATTAACCGTTCTTTGTCCCTCAAGAGGAATAGTCGTAACATGGCCGGTTTTGGAGACAAACGTGGCCACCATTTTTTTTGCAACACTCCGTGAACGAACAATTTTTGTTGGCTTTAACTCATTTTCGAACACCCAAACTCGTGACTGGTTTTTTGTTTCGGGTTCGTACGCGTATATCCAGGATTCGTCACCTGATACAATGTTGTATACAGCATTTGAGGATCCTGCGTGGAATCTTTCGGGAGTTCTGACGCACCAAGTAACGCGAGCCGCTTTTTGCTCTTCACAGAGCGAATGCGGTATCCATCGGGAAAACAACTTTTTTACACCTAATTGTTCATGCAAGATTATTTGTATTTGACTCATGCCAATGTCTAAAGTTGCCTGAATTTCGCGGTATGTCACATGTCGATCTTCCTCAATCAGCTTACGCGCATCATCAACGTTTTCTTGGGTGACTGCAGTTTTTGGACGACCTTGACGGGGATCATCACTGAGCTTGACACGTCCACGTTGAAACTCAGCAAACCAGCGATAAATTGTGGTTTTGGATGGGGCTTCATCACCAAATGCAGAAATAATCCGGTCAACACACTGTTTTTGTGTTAAACCACTTCGAAAGTTATAATAAATCATCGCTCTTGAATTTTCTCGAGTCAATTCCATTTTCTCAACGACTAAACAAGTTTGACAAAACCTCGTGACAAGACCGAGAATCTTTTTTAAATAAATAAATGGTATTCGATTTTTAAAACCAAGGAGTTTTCAATTAAAAAGATTTTAATATGACAGGAACAGTGGAAATATTCCATTCCCGATACTTTTAGTGCAGCCCTCGTAGCACGCGCGAAGCCTAGAGCTCTTGTCTGTTCCCCATATGTCAAAATAAGCACTGACGATGAACCGCCTTGAATAAACTGTAATGTTAGATTTACTGTTCAAGGTCATTACCCCGTTTTTTAACACGAATATGACTTGATCCACGAGTCGATTGGGAGGAAAATAAAGCTATTCCGTCAGACCGAGAGCATATCGTATCGGCGTGTCGGAGCAGAATTTGTGTTTACACTCAAAGTCTTCCTTTTTTTTTACTGGTTATAGGACCTCTTGTTAGTCCGTGCGGGTAGGTACCACTACCTTGTCTATTTCTGCCGTGAAGCAGTAATGCGTTTCGGGTTGAAAAGTGGGGCAGCCGTTATAACTATACTGAGACCTTAGAACTTATATCTCAAGGTGGATGGCGCATTTACGTCGTAGATGTCTTTGGGCTCCAGTAACCACGTAACACAAGGTAGGCTGTAAGCTCGTCCACACATCTAAGCAATAAAAAAGCTTCCTTCTCAAAATAAATGAGAAATAATAGTAAATGAAGTTGTGAACGTGCAGAGAGAATGTCATAATGTTCACACCACAAATGTGTCATTTGCATAAAATAACTTCGGCTGTAGGTATATGATAAGGCTTGCAAACAGTCATTGTGTTATTGCGTATAGGTTAGCCGGATAGGAAAAAACATGATAAGATATCAGGTCGGGCGGTAAGAGGTGCAGCTCCAGACACGATCGTTATGCTCATTAACAATTTCATTTTGTTATAGATTTTGTTTCTTCGAGTGCATACATTAATACTGAGACGGGTGAAGGCGCTAATGGCCCACATGAGCCAAGTGGACACCAGGATCCATAGACATCAGTGTAAAAAACCCACCTTAGGGTATTTATTATTTGTTTATTTAAAAAAAGTACTGCTACTACTTAGTTGCCTCTAAAAGTAAATGTTTGTGATGTGCATTTAACATTGAAAATAACATAAACTATTTAATTTATGGCCTGATGCATGTGACAATAATGGCGTACATAACATTGGCAATTCATCGGCTCGAAGATGGAATACAATAATTAAAGAAAAAAAGAATACCTAATGAAAACATACTTTGAAATTCTTTAACAAGTAATACAGTAATAATTGTTGGAAATTCGACTATAATTATTTGGAATTGTAAGTTTGTACACTATTAAGATTGTATTTTATACTTCTATAATCACAAATTTCGCCAAGACTACACTATAAAAATGTTATCAAAGACAAACAATTTTTAATCTCAATTTGATAACAGAAGTCAAGGACAAAAGTTTGTGCGTCAAATACATGGTATGTAGTGTGTGTAATGTTTTCTTTATTGATTTAATGTATCTTTTATGCATTCTTTTAAAAAAATATTAGCATTGTGCACTTCTTCTCTATTAGCCCAAGAGCCCGCGACAGCCAGACCTTCGTTATTTTATAAAAGCTGAAAGTTTCTCTGTGTATGTCTCCAGTACAGGTAAGAACGACCCCCGACTATAGAGTTCCGATTGTGGTTGCTTGGGCAGGTAACAGGCAGTAAAGGTATATAAAATAGTACCTTAAATTCGTTAAAGTATAAAGTTATTTTTTTTTATTAATTACTCCAGAATATCTTTAGAAATCACGATATCCATTGCCGGACACTTTTTACAGTTGCTACTCCCTGCCGGACACCCCTAAACTTTAATAAATTTTAATTATACTTTCGTTATACTATAAAAGCTGAATTTTATATATGTTACTTAGGGACTTATAAAAATATGTTACCCCAATAGCCAGACAGTTTTAATGGTTCTTACATCTTGCCGGACACATTGAGAGCCCGCTGTGCGAGCGCGAGGTAGCAACTGTTCATGCGGGTGTGAGTGAGACAGAGTGCTTAGTTTATTGTGATCTTTTACTGCACATCAGCTGTCATTTCTGGGATTTATCGTGCATTCTTCAGGAAAGGAAAATTAAAACCATATAAAA